CATTTGAAATGAATGTGTCTGTGTAGCAGAGCTTGATATTGCTCCGTCAATTATATGTCTATCTCTCTCTCTATATATATACATATATGTATTTATAAAAAAATGTTAATGCATTCTCTTTAGGGTACAATGAATAATCATGGGTTGTGACAGATAAGCCCAGTCCAATAAGACAGGCAGAGCTGCATTGACTCTTACTCTGATTCTCCTCTCATAACATATGACACAAAGCCTCATCCTGTGCTGAGTAAGGTGGGCGGGTTGCGATGCAGGGGTAGCTCCCTCTAGTGGGTCCACCCTGCGGTATTAAACCACAGCAACAACATGCAACAAAATATATCTTCCTTATGCATGTGTATGTAAGTATATTTGGGGATACATGTTGTCTTTGTGTATATTGTATATATTACATGATTTTTGTGAGACATATACAGGTGTTGGCCATAAGGACAAGTCCTCCTGGGACAAGAAAGACTATTTAAATGCAGATGATTTCATATAAAAAGTGCATTTCAGCCACCGTTCAAAAGACTATTTAAATGCAGATGATTTCATATAAAAAGTGCATTTCAGCCACCGTTCAAAAACTGCAAATGACCCTTTGACTTTTTTGTGCTGACTTTGGCATTTGACCTCACCACATCTTGATCAGTGCATTACCAGTTCAGTCAGCTGACTGCAAACCAAATGCTCATGCAAATCATCGTGTACCGCTGTTTTGGACAGGACATGAGAGTTGAGCTATGCAATGCTCATTCCCACGCCAGCGACAAAGACGTGCCCAGGAGCTGCTTTTGAAACAGGCTATTCAAGCTGGCACGGCCTCTCTGTGACAGGAGGCATGGGCACAAAACAACCAGATGATGACGCCATGGGAGATGGGAAAGGGGCAAGAGATGGTCAGTGTACCAGCCCTTAATCATCAATCAGTGTCCAAAACAGTGGTTACGTCAACCCGAGCACAAGACTGACACATTTTCAGCCTACAAAGAGAGTAATACTTAACCAACTTTAAGCATATAAATAAGTAGCTCGTTATTATTTTTAGTTAAAGCTGCTATATTTACTTGTTTTTTTAAGCACACACACAAACACACAACCTTGTGTCACTATCTTCATGGGTACCTGTCATGACATGATGCATTTCCTAGCTCCTTACGCTCACCTTAACCCTTACCCTAACCCTAAACTTTTAAACTTTACATAATGTTAACCTCAAACCTAAAACCAGGTCTTGAACCTCAAAATGCCTTTTAAACTTGTGGGGTCTAGCATTTTGGTTCCTACAAAGCTGTCTGTCAAAGTATAGCTGAATCCCTGTTTTTGGACCCCACAAATGAAGTAAAACAAGCCCCTCCACACACACACACTCAGCATGCAAAATCCGGGTAGGGAGGCGGATTTATTACACAACTTAATAAACTGCAGTGCCATGTGAAAGGATGGAAATATACATGTCTAACTTGCATCACTATCCTGCTGCCATGATAAAAGTGCATGATTAGGCTGCTTGACCATTTACTGATGATGGTTTGATTTTGTTGTTAGATAAACTGTAGTGATTTTTGATAATCAAAATGTTCATGTTTTGTGAAAACGGCTCATGCTAAGTTTGCTCTCGCCACCAGGGTCCATGTCCAGTTTATAGTGGTGTTATAGAGCTCATAATGCCACTCTCGCAGGTCTTCCAATGTTAACTCTGCTCAGCATTTAACATTTTCCTCAATCACCAAGCTGTGTAATGTTTGCTTGGTCGTCAGGTCCTCCAACATGCTTTTAATTGGGCACCAATAAACTCCAGGGAAGCCCACTCTGTTGTCAGCTGTGAATATGAGTTGCACATTACTCTCCCAGAATTCATAGGTGTTTTACTCGAGCCTTACTGCTAGTGATTGTGTTGGGTGGTCTACCACTCATACTTGCTGTCCAGCAAGGTGTCTGTAACTTTGCTGAAAGGCCCAGAGAAACCGCTTAAGTTAAGTGACAACGGAACACTTTCCATTCTACCTCATTCAATATATAAGGAGAAATGTGTGTGAAAGTATTGATGAGTTTTGAACAAAGCAAAGGACATTTCAGATTGTATATTGTTCAATTATTCTTCCATATTTTGGTTACTGTTAATAATAAACCTTTGTATGCATTATAAAAAAGAGCAACAAGGAATATAAAGAAGGTAGATGTAAAAGAACATACCAACAGACTGTTAATCAAGTCACTTGTTGAAATTTAAAGATTTAGTTGATTTAAAAATGTTATTACTGTAATCATGTGAAAAGCCAGAATTAGACTATTTACTGAAAATCTATAGAAATTGTTTATATTAAAATTAAATGAGGAAAAGGAAATGGAAGGAAATTGCTCATACTCCATTAAAGCAGATGTGTATTTCAGTATATGCTGCTTGCTTGCTATAAGCTCCTTTAAATTCATACATGTACTGTATTGTGAAAATTTGCCTTCAAAAACATCCCAGCAATAGCAGATGAGCAGCAGCAGATTTCACGGTTTTGACTACATATACTCTGTGCTGTATGCCTCAGGGTGAGGCCATAGCTGCCGCATGATATATAGGGGGAGCTCCATCACTCTGTCGTTAACCACCCATCGTTCTTACCAGAGATGTTTTGTTCATACACACTGTTACAGGCGCCCATCATAGATCAAAAGCCCTGCTGAGTCGTACGCATTAGAGAAAGAATGGTGAGAAAAATTTAAATCACGTTTTCATTTTAATGGATTTGGGCCCCAAAACGGCATGTCTTACTTTCCTAACTCACCAGACAGCAAAGTCTGACTCAGAAATGTTGATTTCAGATATTTGCACATGGCCAGATCCCAAAGGAAGGAAAATATGACATATTTAAAAGATGACTCACGCCCACAGTGTGATCGTTTTTATCAACCTCTGTCCGTTACAGAGACACTATGACTCAGAGAAACATGAAGAGCAAACATACAGACTTTCTATTTTTGAATATGCACTGGTATGAGGTTGATATAAAACACTTTTTTTCTGTTTATGATGCATGTGTTGCATGGACCTTGTTTCTACCATGAAAACAAATTCACTATGACTCGGTATGGGCTCATATAAAACTAGATTCAAGTCTACACTACTACAGTAGATAATCTCAATTCTGCTCAATAATACCACGTACTTCAGATCACAAAAAGCTGCTGTATAACAGGTTGTCTGTTAGTGATGGCAAAAACCTGTCTGCCCAGTTCAACAGCATCAGACTCACACTGCTTCAGGTATGCACAATGGCATTTTCTGCCACTCAATAAGTCATCATTTTTTTTATAGGGTGCCATTTGGACTTCATAACTCGGGATAAATAAATAGTTCATTTACCTAACTGTTTAAAAGTGTTTTCAGGGTATGATTGCTACTAAAATTACATTTTTATAGAAATCATATGTCCCTCACAAGCGCACATAATGAAAAGGGGATGTATTTTTCCACTTTTTTTCTCAAGAAAATGGAATTATGATAAGAATTACTCAATGTCTCTTGCCTGTGTAGTCAATCCCTTTCATATCTTTATGTAAATACAAATATACACTTAATATTTGGTCATTTCAATAAACTATGAGGAAAAATACCAACATAACAGGGTGGACAGAGTTCTATTAGCATAACAGGGTGGACAAAACACTAGTATATACTATAGAAATGTCCTCCCTGTTACTGTCCACCCTGTTGAAAAACTAACAGGGTGGACATTTTGAGCTAAAGTTAGCCTTTTACCTGCCTGTGTGAGAATAATGGCTAACATGACTTTCAGTACTAGATGAGGAATCTATAATTTTTTACAAACCGTTTTTGAAATTATTTAATTTGATTGCTCTCCTCAAAACTTAGGCCTAACAGGGTGGACACGTTATGATCAAACACATTAAACTAACATAATAATAATGTCAAAAGCTGATAGTAAGAGAGCTAGAATGATCAACACTGGGGATGGCAAAATCCCATAGTACCTCTTAAACCAAACTTTTAAAATGTATATAAAACAACTTAGAAACAAATCTCATTGTAATCATAATTAATAAAAATTTACCTTAAAAAAAACAAATGGAACTAGTATTTGTCCAGATTTAGACAAAATACAACATGATTTGTACTGGGGACGCAAAAGGCAATGTATAAAAAAGTGTAACACTGCAGCTTTCCCCTGTGACATTCACAAAGAATAAAGCAAAAGCAATTTATCTTGTTTTAGCAGGGAAAATAGTACCAGCCATGAAAACTTGACAGCACACACAGTATGAAACATTATGTAAGACCTGTTAGTTGTGCTGTGAACTGGCCTGAAGCAATGTCACAGTAAGACATGCTTAGACAGTGCCCTCTTCTGTCTAAGCAATGCTGTTGTGTTCCTCTGCAGTAGATTTTATTTTTTTGTGCAACTTATTACATACTGGTTGTATTAGATAATATTTACTGTTTACTTTGTCAGGATTTACGTTCATATTTGTTGCATGAGGGTGGTTTTCAATGTTTAAAGGGGACGGTACTCGATTAAATTAGATAAGAAAGAATGAAAGAATAAACATGAAACTAATGTTCCACCAAATTCTGACTTTTCTACAGTTTGATTTTTTTTCTGTTAAAACTTACTTCATGAAGTTTGAAATTCTACCAACCAATATCTACAGTATGCCGTAGCCTGGGATGAGGGTTCATGAGTAGCCTACTTATTGCTTAATTTTAGAAAGGTTTCAAACCAATACGGTCACAGGTATCATCAGAGAAATACGAATATTAAATACCCAATATCAGATCCTATTAAATTTTGTATAAAAACTGTTGCACAAATTCAACAATGAAGCACTTGCTCTTACAATACTGCTGTGAAAAAATATTTTTCATGCCAGCCTACATGTGATCAAGCATCTTCAGGAGTCACAGGATTTTGTCCCTCCAAGGACAGATGGCGCTGTAGCTGATTTGGCCTTGAATGGCCCTTTAACTCTGACGTTTCAGTTTTCCTCCACGTTGGCCGCACATGCGCAGAGAGTCTGGTCACCTGCTGGATATCAGAAGCGAACAGGGAAGTACAGCGCGGAGGATTGGATGCCAGGTTCAGCAAAAACGAAATACCTTTCCGTCCCTCAGTAGTCGTCTGCTCGTCGGCTGTTTGCTACATCAGCGTGACAAGATGTTTAAAAAACTTAAGCAGAGGATAAACGAGGAGCAGTCACCGCAGAGGAATGCGCAGTCGCCCCAACAGGCCCAGGTCGGTTGTGTTGCTTGGAGCTAAATAGCTAAGCTAACATCTGTTTACACTGCTGAAGTGCTAGCTAAAGATGATAGTGTTTTCACAGACGTTATTGATGGTGCGTCGAAAAGTATTGTTTAGTAAAGCTTAATTAGCTGGCAACTAATTAACTTGTTTTGTCAGGTCAGCCCTTTCGATTTCTTCTAATCGTTAGCACCATGCTAAGTCATTTAACTTGGCTGTCAGCAGCTCCTGCCAGGAAGGTGCGTTCAGGAAAACTTGTAACTCTGGTATGTCTCGTTCCAGGTATCAAAAAAAACCCAACGGGCAGCCAGCTGTGAACCGTGTTGTATCCATAACACTAGCCAGAAATCTTATAATCGACAACTATATGGGCATGTCTGTTATTTTGCCTGCATGAGCTTCAGCTGGCAGCTTTATTTGACATATGCAAATCCAGTCAGTGCAAAACGCCTGCCGTCGCAGGACATGGATATAAAAGGTCAGAGAAACTAGCGCAGAGGTTTCATCTTGGAAGTTAAAGTAAATAATCATTGGCAAAGCTGCTTTATCGTGGGCTTAACAGTTTGCAGTATAGAGAATAGGTCCATCATCATCATCTTGCTGGGCAGGTTCACTGTCTTTGTTACTGTTGTTGTTTATTTCCATATGTTAGGATAAAACTGTTCTGTAATTCAAACACGGATGATTTGGTCTCTTTAGAGCTCTGTTGTTTGGTTTTGCTTTATTATTTAAACCACACATTGTTTGTCAAACCTCATTTATATCTGGAAAAGGCTTACCAACCTTTAGTTATTGTGTTCAAGTCGCTTCAGATGTCAAAAAGCCCTTTTCCAAAGTGCATGACGTTTCTTTTTCTACCTTTTTATTATTGGTTTGAATTGCTCTCAATGCGACTTGGCCCATGTGTGGAGCAAACTACAGTTTGTTACTTAAAGTTTATTTCAGTTTGCAGTTCATGTCACCAATTGTCTTGCTGAAGAACCAGCATATTAAGCTGGTTTGGTTAAAAGGTAAAGACTGAGAACAGTGAGGTATAATGACAAGAAAAGATGGCTTAGGTGAGGCAGTATTACAGTGATCCATCAAATTGTTTTATGTCAGGGAATCAAAAGACTTAGAGATAGAAAAGCAACGTAATGATTGTGTGTAATTTAGGGAGAGGGATTTTGTGTTTCTTTTTTTTTTAGTACAAATAATGTTTTATTTTTTTTACAGACGGGCAGTGGAGACCGGCGCAGCAGCCAAACCCCCCCTTTTCATCACGATGGCACACCCTCTCCCAGTGACCGAGAGGTGAGCGTGGTGTTGGCCTGTGGTGGATACATGTTTAATATCTTCAAACTGCAGCCTCTAGACAATGCCATTTTCTCTCCCCAGCTTGTAGTCTTAATTTTCAATGCAGAGTAACGTTTCATGTCAGTCCCCTAAAATCTGTCATGTGTTTTATAATGCTCAGTGCTCCCTCAGTAACAAACCAGTGCCTTTTTGATGGTGAAAGTGAAAGTAAATCAGTGACCAATAGGGCTGGGGGGAAAAATCGATACAGCTTAGGATCGCAATATTTTCCGTGGCAATATTGTATCGATACCCGGACGTCAAGTATTGATCTTTTAATATAAATTGTAGAATTTTACTTTTTGGTACAATAATAATAATAATCATTTGCTTTTTCAGTTCACTAAAAAAAGAGTTTTCCTTTGGGGACACAGTTTGAAGTTTGGAAAAAGGTAATAAATTGCAATATATCACAATATGTTTAAAATCACAAAAATATCATATTGTGACATAAGTATCGTGATAATATCAAATCGTGGGGCCTCTGGTGATTCTCAACCCTAGTGACCAAGTGGTGCTTTTAATTTTCAGAGTGTAGGCTATTTTCACTGCTCATCATCTACTCTCACAGGAAGTTGAAATAACCTCAACTGTCTGTCTGAGACTGATCATAATTTGTTAATATAAGGAAAGACACACATTATTCCCTGCCCTTATTCCCTAAGCATATTTCATGAATTGTAGCTGTTCCTTTACTTCAGGCAACAGATGATGATTTATCATGACATCCTTCTTAGAACACATGAGAACACACGAGCCAGAATAATGTTGTGATAACTGATGATGTACAGGTAAAGTCTCTCATTTAACTGCAGGTATTGTCACATGGGACAATGAAGTCAAAACTTGGATTTAATCCAGGGCACTTTGATGTTCGTCTTTAACAGCATTTGTACAATTATTATAATGTGGTTTTTTGTTAAAAAGCTTTGCAACATTAATAAAATTTCATACAATATACATAGAGTAGCTCATTTAATGGCACAACACAAGTTTTTTTTTCTTCTTGTACTGAAGCTGCTCGCCCAAGAGAGATTCTCATTTAGAGACGCTGTGAAGGGCGTTTTTTAAGAGCAGACCATATTTCAGCACGTGTATGAATAATTGATGTATCCTCCTCTCAGTGTGTTTGTTTCTCTGGTGATGTGTTGCAATATTTTCCACCCAGTCTATGCGGTCAAGTTTATGCAATACTTCTTTGATTCATTAGACAGTGCTAGACCGGCATTGAGGTCCTGACCATTTCAACACTGCAGAGCCCAAACTGGAATAGTGACCAGGGCCCTTTTGGTCAGGTTTCTATACTCTTTCTCCATCGTCCTTTGGAAGCACAGATGTGTTGTTGTACCTTGGGCTCATGTGCCCCCAAGCTTCTTCTCATCGTAGCATCTTTTATTTTTTTTTTCACCTCACAAATCTTTAACGCTTTGACGTCTCTGAGGGTGTTTATTTGATTATGGGAGGCAGCCTATTTTTTTTTTAAAAAACAACATGCTAACTTAAGACTACATGCAGAGATGTCAAACTGTTATTCATAACATTAATGTTGATTGTTTCACTTTCCAGTTTTTCAAATTTTTCTTCCTGTACCACGTAGTCGCTCTCCCTCTCCCTCTCTCTCTCCATCCATGTCAGTCTCTCTGGACAGTCTGGCTAGACGCTCCCTTCAGCGCTGTTTCACACTCATGGTGTTGTTTGTTTTTCTCATTGCTCTCTGTGTTCCTCTCCTTTCCCAACCTTTCGTCCCGTTACTGCACTGACGGGGTCAGATGCTGGCTGGGATGATAGCAGAGCCCGCTTTTCTCTCTGAGTATACTATCTTTGCTCTGGACCATTCAAAACGACCCAAAACGGCCCAGGTAGCCAGTGTGGTGAGTTTGTCCTCACTTCCTGTCTCTTCCTCCTCCTCCTCATCCCTCTCCTCCTCCTCCTCCTCTTGCCCTGTTCCTTCCTCCCGTCTCCGCGGCTTTGGGGAATCGGTAGACACCCATGGCCCAAGTAGGGACAGCTTGTTCCCTGCTCTCCGTCTCCTGTTTCCTTTGGAATTAGCAACAAGAAGGCATCTCATATCTAGGCTAACCCTGCATCTAATGGGAGTAATGGTTTACATTGTGGGATAGAAGCTTGTGTGCTTTCTACTGTATGTTGGTTTATTGCCCTACCTTTCAGTTATTTGTCACAGAATTGAATCTTGCCCCCTTGTCTGTAGGCACCCTTAGTTGCTTGCTTTATAGACCCTCAACACCCTGTTATGTTGCCTGATAGCCTTCACCCCTTCTCCCCCACAAGTCTGTTTATTTGGAGAGTTGATGTTTCATAAGCTATAGGCAGGCTTTTGAAGCAGTTTAAATGTTAAATTGCTCGTAACTCTTCCAAGTAAACAAACAGACCGGAGCCCCTTTTGTAGATGCCACTGTGGAGCTCAAAAACTAGAGGATGTGTGTTCATATGTGGAGACAGTAAGAGGACTAGAGGAAAACAACATTTAAGGCAACTAAGTATTCATCATTTGTGAACAGATTTTAAATGGATACCTTACATTCATTTAGCTACCATTGTGTATGTCTCTGTTTGATGTAACATGTAATGTAAAATGTTTGTTTGATGTAAATTTAAATATTTGTGTTTTGACTACTAACTAATAGGCTTGGGTGGTATCTTTTTTTAAAATTATTTTATACCTTCATAGCTTCTTGGCATTTCACCAGGGTATACGGTATATGATGTTATTTGTGTATAAATAAATGCATAACTGAGCTTCTGGTGATCATTATAGCGTGTATGACAAGTTACTAGGTAGTCTATTTATTATTAAATATCAGGTTGGATAACGGGGGGGTGGAAGGTTTTTAGTCCTTTCATGCTACACAGAGAGAACTTTGACGTTGTCTAGTCTACAATGCTGTGTGTCTAATATGTACTTAGCTTACTTAGACAAGTGTTGCTGGGTTTAAATACTTATGGCCCATAGAATAATAAATAGATGGGGAATAAGTGCCATTCTACCGCGGATACCTACACATCAGTGGGCTGACTGGAGATGATGTGCACACAGCTTCATCCGTGCTGGCTGTCTCATCTTTATCATCGGCACTATACTGCCAAACGGGGGCAGAGGCTCTTTTTTATTTTTTTTTCTTGTTTACTCCTGAAATGTTATCCCCACCACTCGCAGACGCCATCAAGTCGCTCAAACAAGCGAGCGAGCAGCAAGTGAATGCAGGGTGTGGAGGGAAAAGGTGAGCAGTGGAGTTTAACAGGAAATGTACAGTGTAGGTTACAGCTTCTCAGTGAATAAAGGCTGCAGCTACAATACATCAGGTCAGTCCAGCATCTCCGTATCAGTTTAATAGAAAGAGGAGCATCTTTATTTTTGACAGAAAGTCATACCGCCTGGATTCCTAAATACCCTGGTATTGCATAATACCTTGATACCGCCCAAGTCTACTAACTAACTACTCTCTGTAAAGGGATTTTGGCTTGCTATTTACAGTTCCTGTAATGCGCATTTAATCTATGAACTTCTTCTACTGAGGCCAGTAGTGATATGTGAATAATGTTGTCAGTGTTTACTTGTGTCAGTAAAGGGCATGCAAGGAAAGTGAGTAAATCAATGTTTGAGGCTTGAACTCTGTTGCCTTGTAACTCTTAATTATAGCTGTGATAAATATAACTGAATGGAACATTTATAATTGCACTATACTTAACAGGTTAGCTTAAAACCTTTGAACTCTGTTGTACTGAATTGATCTTCTCTTGTGATGAACCACAGATATCTTAAATCCATCTCAATGTCTTTGTCATGTTCCATCTACATCTTATTAAAATGTTATCAACATTGCTCAGTGTAGTGATAGGAATCCCATCAAACTGTCTCATTCATTTTTTTTATTTTGGAGGTACAAACTTGTTTTGCCAGCTGTGTTCGTCATTTGACTAAGAGTTGTAGGAATCTTTCTGTGTCTTGGAATAATGTTTGTGTTGGTACTTGATCAAATTTGTAGTTGGTGTAATTACTAATGTCACAGGATTTTGGTTTCAGAACCACTGTGAATTTAGTCAGTCATTTGTTGACTGTGAGAATTGAGAAGTGGAGTGTTTGGTCATGCAGTACTAAAACAGAAGAGGCATTCAAGTCTTGGTTTACTGTAGACAAAGTTGACATCTACATGGGATAACACACATGGTGAAATAGTACATTTTGTCCTTTTATCCCTTCACATAAACCTGTGAGAAGGAAGTCTGTTGTCTTACAAACTCTGAGTTCATCAGTATCAACCATTCTAGATAATATCACTTTAAAAAATAAAAATAAAATAAAATAGTGCTTCCCTTACACATTCACTATATCAAACATATGTTCCTTTAAACCGTATATTGAAAATACATTTAAAATTTCGATTGAACAAATTGAAAAAGACCCAGACTCCGCCCACCTCCAAAAAGCAAACCTTTCCTAAACTGCAACACCCACTGATACAGATCCTGGAAGTGAGCTCCATCTCATTGAGAACATTTCCAAAATAAACAGAACAGAAATGCATTTTTGTACAATAATCCAGAGGAAGGAGTAGCTCAGAGCTGGACAAGGGAGGAGAAAATTTGCTTACTCTGATCCTGCTTCTAACAAGTCAACTAAACCGACTAAGCTGCTCAATATGCACCTACTTGAGTTACGCCGCTCTGGTGCTCTTGTAATACAGCTGCACATGTGACAGCACTTGCCCAGCATCTTTAATTCAAATACCGGCGCTCCTACTTGTTTTTAACTGTTTGTTCTGACCTCATGGCTGTTCTGTAGAGTCTAGTCTTAACCCTTTTTGTTTAACGTACAGTAGAGATGCCTTCTTTTATGTATTTAACCCCTCTGTTTTTTCCAAGTTGCATGAGGGTACCCATTGCCCCTGCATTGCTCCCAGCAATACTAATATTGCTCCCTCCAGAGTAATCAGGGAGAGCCACGCTGGGTGTGGATGACTAACTGGCCCAGGACAAGTTCACTAGCACAGTTTTCCTTTGTCTCATAATGTCTGTTTATCTGCAGAGTGCCTCGAAAGGACCAGCAAGGTCCCCGAGAGGTAGCATCAATGGGGATGAAAGTGCTTCTCCTCAAGTAGGTTTATTACCTTCATCTTCTCCGACTTCCTTTTTATCTTCCTTTTTGAAGTTATAATGCTGTTCATTCTTTGGTATGTTTATAATGAGCGTTTCATGCAATTTCTTGTTCCTCCCGATAGAGAGAGTCATTTACCCAGAAACTGCAATTAAAAGTTCCCTCAATGGAGTCGTTGATTCGCGGCGGCGCCAGTCGGGCAGAAAACCTGTTCCGCTCTCCTTCTAAAGAAAACCTTGTCCGAAGCTCATCGCGTGACTCCCTGACACCTTTGGGAGAAAACGAGCCCCAGGGCACCCCCACATATGATCCCCCCTCGGACATTGAGAGTGAGGCCGAAGAGCCACCAGGATCTGCAGAGACCCTTTCCAAAGAGCAGCTGTTGCACCGGCTGCTCAGAGTGGAGAGTAGCCTGGGGAAGTACAGGGGGAAGTACTCAGAGGTGAGAGTCGCACAGAAAATGGATCCTAGAAGATTCAAATGTTAAGCGTGTCAACCTGTTTAGTGTATAGCAGATAGCCATACAAGTGTACTAACATATTCTCCTTTTACTCACCTCTACTTTTTAACCCTGCAGCTAGTTACTGCATACCGCACAGTACAACGAGATAAAGAAAAAACACAGGTAATTTCAACTACCATGTTGGCTAATATTTTATTTCCCCAGGATGATCAGATGTTCATTTCTGTTCTCCTTCCCCACAGGTCATTCTCAGTCAGAGTCAAGATAAAGCTCTGCGGAGGATAGGGGAGCTGCGGGAGGTATGGCTGCGTGTCGTCGTCTCTCTGTTTTCCTTTTTTTTTATTAAAACTTTACATATGAGTGAACTTACTGAATGATCTCCAGGAGCTTCAAATGGACCAGCAGGCCAAGAAACACCTACAGGACGAGTTTGATGCTGCGCTGGAGGAGAAAGACCAAATGATCACTGTGCTCCAAACACAGGTGAGTAGATGAGTGGTGGCATGGATAGGTTTTTTTTCTGTAGCAGTAGCTTTCAGGATTTAAAGCCAGCAAAGAACGACTTGATGTTTGGCAGAAATGTACTCTTTACCTTGACAATACTTAAAATAAAATCCAGTTTGACTTTGAAAAAGATACACTCACCGTAATCACAAACTATGTTGAGTTATGCACGGAACAAACGCAAAGATACAATATTAGAAAGTGGTATATAGTTAAGTTAAATGTACAAAATTATTCATACATGGAATAATGCCAGGTTTGGGTCTTAAACCAATGTAGTCAGAGGTTTATTTCACTATTTGTGTGCTTTTTGCTCTAACAGGTTGCTCTGTTGAAGAAACGAGTCAAGGGCGCCCCTGACGGTGCTGTTCCACCTGGGGGAGATGTCCCTCAATCTGAAGATGCTTTAGATTCTACATCTTCCTCACAAAGTCCTTTGAAGGAGCAAGGAGTAGAGGCTGAAGTCACTGAGGGTAAGCACACCCATATGCTTATATTAGTATTTTGGTTAGGAGAAAAGGCAAAACATGTATGTATGTGTGTATGTGACTTTTATAAGTGTGTTATTTTTTTAACCTGTGCATTTTATTTTCTGGGCAGGAGAGGGCAGCACTGATCCAACCAAACTTATGGAGGCTCTACAGAAGAGAGTGAAGAGGCAGGAAAACCTACTGCAGAAGTGCAAAGAAGTGATGCGTACACACAAGGAGCGCAGCGCCCAGCTGAGCAGCGAGAATGAAACTCTGCAGGAGCAGTTGCAGGAGAGGCTGCAGGAGCTGGAGAAGATTAAGGTGGCTAACCTGTGTTTTAACAACAATGATACATGATTGTCGATCGCTCACATACTATGACATTGACTGTATTTAAAAATGGATGACAAGTCTCCACTTCCTCTTCCTCTGCCATCTTGCACTGATCATTTGAAGCCAGAGTCTACACAATAGTGATCGGGTTTGGAATCGTGGTATCGAAGTCCTGCCCTTACATCCAGCTGACTCAACCCCCTTTTTTATAGCATCAAATAACTAATTAAAACCAAACTTATCAGATAAATAAACTCTTGAATCTATATAAAATGACAAAAAACGTTTTGTTTAGCCCATGTCCCATCCACTAACTTGGATGGGTTTATGACCTGCACTGCAGCCAGCCACCAGGGGCTGATGTGGACATTATTCATACATTTTAGATAATATCTGCTTATGGACATCACGGTGTCAATAAGGTATATTCAAAAGTACAATGTAATCAGATATTTCAAAGCATTTTCCTGAAGACAGCCACTCACTAGAAATTGATGTGGCGGTAAGCTGTAATTATGAAGAGGTTTAATTAAATTGGGGCTGGGCGGAGACGCAGCGAATGACTGAACAGTGTGTTTAGGGTCATTAATTTTGCTGCAAAATGCCTGCCAGAGTCTTTATGGTCCATTGATGATGTGACTCCGTTATCTCGGTGACACACAGTGGTTTTCTGTGGTTCTCAGAGTCCGAACATCCAAATTCTTTGGCCGAGCTCCAGGACGAGGGTTCATGTCATCGTGACATGACTGAACCATTGTTTTCATTGAGTTCAAAACATTTTTGCCTCAGTGGTATGATCGGCTTGTTTAGCGTGTGCATAGCTGCTCTGATGTTTTGCGGCATCTGATAAATGTTTGTTGGTCCAAAGACACTGTGATAATAGACAGCTTGTATGTGACTGTATGTTGATTGACTTGCTTCCATTTATTGCCATAATTGTTGTGTTGAATCTGCACTCTGTTTGGGAATAGGGCCTTTCCTGTGCAGAGGTTAACATGCGTTTAGCCCTCTTAAGCAGCATGAAGGCATCCTGGAATTGCAAGGCGGGCAGTGCCCATCCCCCGCCTCAGACAAATATCCCATAAAACAGACCATCTGTCTACGATTCCGGACTTTCAGCTCAGGGATTTTTACAGTCTGGTTGACAGAATATTGTATGCCGTATTAGATTTTTTTGTATAGTCACAGTAAAATTATACATTTTCCAAACTTGTTGTACAATTTTTTTTCTGCGGAGACACTCATGCCTTGTTGCATACATGGATCAAACTACTGAGAAATACCGTCAGCCCTGCATTTCCTGTTTAGTAACCACTAGTTACACAGTGGTGGCACAGAGACATAGCTACTACATGCCACTGCTGCTAAACTGGGCTGTAATTTGGGTCGACTTGTTGGTTTAGCTTGGCTTGTGTGCTCTCTGGTTATTTAGCTTGTGGGTGAGGCATCCTGGGTGGTACAGAAAACATCTGTACAGAAAACATCTTATCTAGCCAAAGCATATACAGGATATGAGTCCAAAAATCTGAAATGGCCCCATGTAGAGTGGCATATATGGTTGTCCTAACATGTGACGTTCTCATTTGTAATTCTGTCAAAAAATGCTTTGTTTTATAGGAGCTGCACACAACAGAAAAGACTAAGTTGATCACTCAGCTGCGTGATGCGAAGAACCTCATTGAACAGCTGGAGCAGGACAAGGTGGGCCAGGAGTTTTTTTTATGTGTTGATTGAAGGTCCTACAGATTCAGGTGCGTTAGAAAACTACCATGTACATGTTTTTTTACTCTGCCACTGAGTTGGTCACAGATTGTTTCTCTTAAACTTTGACCCCGGCTCTGCAGGACTGGACAGCGGCTCATGAGATCTGTGTAAGGCAACAGTTGCAGGCGCAAAGCTTGAGTTGAGGGTGTAAAATACAGAGATAGCACTTACCAAATCAAAATCAGCGTCACTTCATTTGCTCAGTCCATACAGTTGTACAAGGTTGATCTTTCTTTCATGTGTTGCTGTTTTTCAGGGCATGGTCATTGCTGAGACAAAGCGCCAGATGCATGAGACGCTGGAAATGAAAGAAGAAGAGGTTGCACAGCTGCGCTTTCAGGCTCCAGCAGGCCACTGCCCAAAAAGAAGAATTGCAGGAACAGAAAGAAAAGACTGAGAAATCAGGTGAGTGGAATCCACTTATGTAAGTGTGCAGGAAAAAATGTCTTTTCTAGTTATGTTAATGACGTGGGTGTTTTTTTTTTTTTCACAGCATTCGAAGAACTTGAGCGTGCACTGGGTGTAGCTCAGAGGGCGGAGGAGGCCCGAAAACAGCTGCAGGTTCAGCTGGAAGAGCAAGTGAAAGAAATTGAAAGGGCCAGTGAAGAAGAGAGGAAGAGTCTGCAGCAGGAACTCACAAGAGTCAAACAGGAGGTTGTCACTATCATGAAGGTCAGGAAGTGACTTTTAATGCTCTGATATTTATATTTACAGTGTATATTGCCTTGTAAAGTGTCTTTGTGAACACAGAAAGCATTATATCAATCAGATTTGTTATTATTATTATTATTGTTAATTAATTGTTAATATTGATAATATTTTTAGAAAGCATCAGAGGAAACTGTAGCCAATATGGAAAAACTCCACAGTGAAGCTTTGGCTGCTAAAGAAGAAGAGATGAGTGCCAGAATCAGCAAAGCTGTGGTATGTTTTCAGTCAATTAATTTTACAACATAATCAAGTAAATCAGATAAAAAAACAGTAACTTCTAAATTTTGGGATTTGACATGTATGTGCTACTTGTCTATTTAGGAGGAATGCAAAGAGGAGTTTGCACAATTAGCCAAAGAGCGAGAACAGCAGGCTTCTCTGGCTCTGGAGGATGTAGAGTTACAGAAGACGGCTCTGAGGACAGAAGCTGATAACAAGGTTAAAGAGATACAGTTGGACCTGGAAGCTGCGAGAACTGTGAGTTTTGTTTTATTAATTGGGGCTGACTGAATGCTTTTAGGCTCAAATCTTTGTTACTACTACTACTAATACTTATTACTTTCTGAAATACATAAATGAACCAGGTAATGAATATTGATGAATAGTAATACTTTTTAACTGTAAATATTTGAGCGTATTTTACTGCAAAGCATAATAAATGTGTTGTAATAAATTGACAAAATGTTGTTTTTTTTACTGTAATTTCAAATGAAAAAGGAGTAGATATAAGTCCTGTCACAGTGTCTAGAAATACCACACACACACACACACACACACACATCCATCTCTCTTTATGATATTCTGCTGATTCAGTACAGTTCCATTTTTAAAAAGCATCTTCATTATTGACCATTGGTGTTTACAGTTCTGTGAAATTACAGAATTACAGACAGAATAATCTAACAACCCCCATGTATGTGTTTGCAGAGAATATTGGAGCTGGAAAGCTCTCTGGAGAAGGTCTCACAAGATGGACCAAGTCTGACCCATGAACTTTCCAGTCAGTTGGACGAGCTGAAGGATAAACACAAAGAGCAGATCTCGGCATTAGAGGAAGAGCACCACGAGCAGCTGGAAAAGCACAAGGGCACCCTAACCCAGCAGCATAATGCTGCTCTTGAGGAGCTCAAGGAAAAACACAGGGTTGAAGTGGAGACCCTTCTGAGAGATAAAGAACTCCAGCTCCAAGCACATGTTGAGGACATGAACCAGAAAACCTTAGAGAAACTGGATGCAAAGCAGGCAGAGCTAGAGGCCGTTTGCGCTGAACTTTCTGAGGCGTTGAAGCGTAAACAGCTTCTGGAAGAGAAGTTGGTGGCAACTGAAGAGGCTCATAGCTTAGCTCAACTGGAACATGAGAAGAGGTTTCAGGATCAGGTGGCAAAGCACAATCTAGCGCTCGAAAATACCAAACAGGAGCAGAAGCAGTCACTTGGAGGTAAGGAGAAAACTCTGAAGGAGGAGATTAAAGCTTTGAAGATTGTTCTGAGGGAGAAGGAAAAGGATATTGAGGAACACATCTATAGAGAAAAAACACTACAAGAGGAATTACAAGAATTAAATGTCAATGTTAAGGAGTTGAAGGAGCTGCAGCAGCGTTTAGCACAGTCCCAGCTGGAAAAAGAGAGCCTGAAAGAGTCTAATGCACAGTTAAGTAAGCTCTCAGAGGATCTTGATCAGTGTAAGAGGGATTTGACAGATTTGGAGCATCAGTTGGAAGTGGCACAGAATGACTGTCAACAAAAAGAGAAGTCTGTTCAAGAACTAGAGCACCAATTACAACAGAGCAAAAATGAGCTGTTGGAGCAGGAGAAATCATTTACTGCAGAACTGAACACTAAGCAAGAAGAACAAACACGCCTCAAGAAACAGATGGAAGAGGAAAAAGCGGCCCATGAGAAAAAGCTGAAAAACACTACAACAGAGTTGGAAGCTAAGCTGAAGACACAGGAAACAAAAATGGAAAAGTTTAAACAGAAGGCCAAAGACATGCACGAGAGTTTCAAGAAAAAGATCCAGCAGAATGAAGAAAACATGAAGAAGGAACTTGCAAAAAAGGAGAAAGAGCTTCAGCAGAAAGAGCAACAAGTTCAAGAGAAAATTGTAGAGATGGCCAAAAAAAGTTCCCAAGGCCTCAGCAGCGCAATGTCAGAGCTGCAGGCCAACCATAAGGAAGAACTGGAGAAGCTACATGACAGCCATAAGCATGAGATTGAGGAGCTGGAGCACCGTTGGCAGGAGAAGTTAGGACAGCAGGAGGAAGAATTAATGGAGAAACACTCACACATACTACAGGAGAAGGCTCAGGAACTGGAGGAAATGTCCCAGCAACTTAGCAGAGGAAAAGAGGAGAACGAGCAAGCATTGTGCGAAATTAAGGATTTAAAGGAGGAGCTGGCGATTCGCGAAACCACCGTGCAGAAGCTACAAGAAGAGCTCAACGAAGCGGCGGTTAAGCTTGAAAGTTTGTCTCAGGGTGAAGCGTTGCTCAAAGAGCAAATGGAGTCACTGGAGAGGAACCTTAACCAGGCTCTGAACGAGAGAAACTCCCTCCAAGACAAGCTCGAAACAACGAAGGAAGAGAACAGGGAGAGGTTAAAGACCTTGTCAGATAAGTTAGAGGAAACAGAGAAGCAGCTTAAAGCGCTGGAAGGTTCCAGATGGAAGGAAAGTGAGGACTTGCAGAATAAATTTGAGGAAACTTCCATTCAGCTACAAGCCAAGAAAGCAGAGTTCCAGCAGCAGTTAATAATGATCCAAAACCAAATGGAGAATTGCTGTAAGGATTTTCAATCTAAAGTAGAGTGTGGATCTAATGAACTCTGTCAAAGAGTTGAGTGTAGATTGAAAGAGCTGAAAGATAGACTGCTCTGCAGTCAGAAGAAGGTAGGGCATCTCAAAAACAGTATCCTTACTAAAGTAGATAGAATTTGCACTTTAGAGGAGAGTCTCCGCCAGCAGACGGTGGAGAATAAGAATCTATGCATTTCATTAGAACAGGTGAATGCTCAGGTAAGTGCTCACATGGAGCATGTCCAAGCCTTAACACATGAGAAGGAGAATCATTCTCAGTCTGTCAACGAGAAAGTTAAGAAAATTGAGGAGTTGAGTGAAGCAAACAGAATCATATCAGAAAGTATGAAAACAAACGAGTCACATATCAGAAACTTGGAGAGCACCGTCAGCGACTTGAAAAATCAGCTAGCAAGTAGCATAAAAGAGAAGGAGGAAGCCATAAATCAGCTGAAGCAGCAGTATAAAGAGGAGCGACAACAAATTGAGGAGACCATTGAGAGGTTGGAGCAGGAGAGAAAGTCTGCTTTAGAGCGGGCGGATGCACTCAGGAACAGTCTGTCTGAGGCAGAGGCAAAGTTCACCCAGAATGACAACGCTATTACATCTCTACAGGCCAGGCTTGACGAGCTGGAGCGAGAGATTGTAGAAAAGAACGAAGCTCTGCAAAGGCTGACGGCAAGTATTGACAATCAGTCTATCAGCAAGTCTGAGATGGACCAGGTGCTGAGCGAGAAGGAGCAGAGGGTCAGCGGGCTTAACCAGGAGCTGGAGAGTTGCATAGGGCGACTTGGTGAGCTTCAGGAGCAGTTAGCCTTAAAGACGAAAGAGTGTGAACAGCTCACAGCTGACCTCAAACAGCAGCACAGCATCAGGGAGGATGAAAAGAGAGTGCTGGCAGAGCAGCTGCAGCAGACCCAGATGCAGCGTAATGTGGAGCAGGAGATGGCAGAAAAATTACTTTCCCTTGAGGAAGACAACCAAAAGTGTAAACACAAGCTTGAGAGTCAAAGGGAGGAATTTGAAAGGATGAAGGACGAGATTATCAAGAGCAAAGAGGAGAGTCTGAAGGCAAGTGAGGAGAAGTTGTCTGCGGAGAGTGCTCGGAAAGTATCGGAGCTGAAGAAGAAAGCTGAGCAGAAAATCGGTCAGATTAAAAAACAGCTAACCTCGCAGCTCGAGGAGAAAGAGCAGACGATCAAGACTCTTCAGGCCAGCTTGGAGGAAGTCAAGAGCAGTGAAATGGCCCGCAAAGAACACGCGGACACGTTGGAAGAGAAAACAAAAACACTCGAGGAAGCTCTCATCAATCTCAAGGAAGAGCAGGAGAAACAACTTGAACAGATTCTGAGTGTTGAGAGGCTTGAGAAAGAAAAGTCTTTAGAGGAACTGAAAAACGTTTATGAAGAGAAGCTGTCCTCGCTTCAGAGAGATGTAGCACAACAAGGGCAGCTCAAAGAAACTGAATCGGCGCTACAAGAAATCGAGGCAAAGCTGGAAGAAGCAGAAGAGCAGAATGGAAACCTTCTTGCAGAAATAAATCGTCTGAAAGAAGAACTACGTGAGAAGGATGCTGAGCTCGAGGAACATCAGGCAACTATTACGCAGGTCCAGAATCCATTAGAACCTGAGGCTGCAATGACGGTTGAATGTAGCAGCGTGCAGCAAACAAAGAGCGCAATGGAAAACCACTCCACGATGCCAGAAGTGGACACCGATTCTCTAGAGTCTCTTAAGGACAGTCTGAATCAGGTGAGGAACGAGAAAGAGAAAATCCAGAAGGACTTCACCAGGCTACAGAAAGATCTCCGGTTACTGAGGAAGGAGCATGAACAGGACCTAGAATACATGAAGAAAGAGTTTTTAGAGGAGAATGAGACAAAGCTAAAGTAAGTTTATGATGTCAAATTGAACGTAATAATCTTTTATAAAAAATGAATTTATTACTTGTCTGTAAATAACGTGGTGCCACATGATCGTGGTGTCCATACTAATTTAATACATTTCCTTTACTGTCTGTCCTCACAGACTGGAGATGGAAGATGTGCAAATGAAGCATAATTCTGCTATCAAGCAGTTAATGCGGGAGTTCAACACGCAAATGGCTTTGAAAGAGAGGGAGCTTGATACAGCAGTGAAGGAGGCCATTGGTGAGGCAGCAGAAAATAGTTCTCCATCGAATTAAACCGACAAGATTTACAGCTGTGTTATTCAAGCATGGGATATGAGTGATTGGAATAATTCTGCTTTTGTTGTGGTGAAATCACCATGGTCTACTAATGTTTTAGGCCCCCGAACAACCGCCTTTAAAATGCAGAATCAAAGTGAATGTGATTGACTTCCATGTACAACAGTAGGGCGAAATAACGACACGGAAATATGATGCGTTTTTATAATCTCGACACTGGGTGGAACAAAATGAAAGGATCATTGCATTTGGAAACGGAGTGCCTGAATTGCCATGCTTCCTTGTTTCCTCTGTGGTTAAATTATGTTACATGCCAGATGGGATGTGACTGAGCGGTTTGGAATATGAGTTTGGGTGTTTTTTTTCTTTTCTTATGTGCTAACTCTGGCTTCTTTCCCTTTCCTTGACACAGCAAAGGCCCAGAGTGTTGAAGCAGAGCTCATCAGTAGCCATCGCGAGGAAGCCAGTCAGCTGAGGAAGCTGATTGCCCAGAAGGAGGAGGATTTGCACAGAACTGTTCAGACATACGAGCAGGTTATACAGGTTCTGTAAAATTATGAAGCTTGAAAACATCCTTCTAAAAATATATTACAAATAATAATTATATGTTTACTGCAGATAGGAGATCCACCTCACCCACTATTTGGACGCTACCACTGTTGGCAGCTTCCCTTAGTCGAAAGCAGTTTTCTTTGTTAACTATCTCAACCATTTATCCATTACCTTTTTCTAATTATTCAACTGTACATCCATTACATTATATAAGCTGGTTCAGGTTTTCTGCTTGCATGCCAACTACTTTTCACACACTCCCAATCACAACGTGTGTTACAGCAGACTTAATAAGTGGTTACTTTTTATAAAATCAAATCATAAATTCTACTAATCCACAGTCTTTCCACATATCCTCTGGCGACCCGCTCCCTGGTGGAACCACTGGTCTAACACAAAAAAAAAAATCTTCAATCAAATGGTTATTCAAGATCAGTCAGAGGCTGGTATAAAATTGTCTCCTTTACTGTCTCCAAACATAATTAAGGGCGGGAGGTCTGAACTAATGCAGTGACTTGACCGACATACTTAAGCTGTGATGCTGAGATGAAACATAGGAAATGACTCAGACTGTGTTCTTGTGTTTATTTTTTTTCCAGAATCGAGAGGAGGAGATGGGAGACAGAGTGTGGCAGGTCCAGAAGGAACTGGAGGAGTTGCAAAGAAAGGGCCCTTCTGAGGTACAAACATGGCTGACCCACTGTACATATTCACCAGGTCACCAAACATCTGTGATTGGTGTCACGACTGGTTGATGTACTGGGGACATTTTTCCGTTTATACAGATGTAGAAATTAATACCTGCAGCTATTAAAGTCCATCATGTACGAGACTACATTTATATAGTGATTCTGTTGAAATCATAAGTCACTTCACTATGGCTGTATGAAATCACTTCTTTTCAGTTCCCTCTCCTCCGGGAAGAGACTGGAATCTGATGGAAGCATTACTCGTTTTCATGAATCCAGACACATTTTTGTGTCCGTACCACAGGCCCTTTTAGATAACTTTTATTATTTTAAAGTTCACATCAAGGTTAATCTTTTCTTATGTCTTGCTTTGTAATTGAAAGATTCCGTCTAAGAGCTCTGGGACAATTTGCTTACATACTTTGCTCTGATCAGTCTCTCGCTCCGGTCGTGTGGCGGCTCTCCAAAGCGCGCTGGATCCTGTGAAGCTCGTTTGAATCACTCAGGAATGTTCTCCTAGGGAAACGGAGATTGTGAGGCAGCAGCCAGCCTCAATCCCTGTTCTCAATTATCATCATACGAGGTGATTCTAGGCTTTAGATTTATGCTACAGCAGTATTCACATGCAAGATGTGCATACTGGAATGGGGCCAGATAGGACAAAACTACTCCAGTGAGACATTGTACCCAGGTGTTGAGGTGCCATGAGACCCCTGCGCCGATTCTTCTACCTTTTTACACTGTGTCCAGATGCACACGGAGAATTATGCTGCCTTCTCTGCTGCATTTTTCCCTAGTGAGGTAATAACCTTATGGGTGGATTGTATGGGTTTATGCTCAGGGAGGCCTTTCCTTTCTATGGGCCTCACAAACCATTCTTCATTTCGACAGCAGGTCAGTGTGTCTCTCCACAGAGACAGCAGACCAACAACTCTTTCAGAATTACGAGTCCAGATTAGTCTGTGCACTGGCAGTCCTTTTAATTCTACTGTGTAATTAAAATACGACAGGTGATGATCCATATTTTTGTAATTGTCTAAAATAATACCATAAAAAGGCTAAAACCATATTAGTCTATCTCCAGTACTTTTTTATTCCACCTGTATGTGGCTTCCAAAACTTGTCACAGAAATATGTAGTTTCATAAAAAAAATATGTAGTTTCATAAAAAAAAAAGAAGAAGAAGCTAAAACAGCTGGATGGTGTAGCATTTAGAAAATATTACTCAAATAGGGCTAAATTGCCTATTTGGTTGGGAACTATTTTCACTGGTAGATTAATACACATTTGATGCTCCAGCAAGTACCGTGTGTGTGTGTGGGGTTGATTTCAAAAATAAACCACAGTGCCTGCGTTCATCATGCTGAAGGAACACCCTGCGCGACTGATGTGTTTTTAATAGTTTAACAGTGGAAGTCAATCGGAAAAAGTAATAAGATAAATCAGGCAAACAGTACTTGTTTGTAGGATCAATTTATTGTTGGATTGTTGGATTTGGTCTTTTCATTTATTTTCTTTTATCAGACTTTTACTGCAAAGGTAATCTACAGAGGTTATGTACTGTAATTATTATGATGACTAAGCTGACTGGATGTATTTATTATTAGTTTACTGTTACTACACCTGCGTTATTTTTAAATTCTATTCTAACATAATGTATCTTCCCTATTTTCTTATTTATTCGGGCACAGATGACCATGGAAGATCTACAGGTATGTTTGCTGGTTCCAGTATCAACTGGTGTCACTTTTTCTAGGATACAAATCATTTAATCCCATTACCATTGTCAAACAATTTGAAAGATTCATCACTGATAAAGGCATACTGTTTGTTCACTGCCTTACTGTCTCCACATTAAACCTTCCAATTCACACTGACGTCAGTGTTCCTATCCTCCCCTACCCCAGGCTCAGCTGGCCGAGAAGACGACGTTGCTGAGTGAGGCTCGGCTGAAGGAGCAGCAGTTTGTGGAGAGAGTGAGTGTCGGGCCTTGTGTGTGTGCTCTTCGATGGGACAAGTGTACAGCAAATCCCATTCACTGTATTCCCAGGGTTCTGTGGCCTCCAGCAAGACGAGCCACTGCTCTCCTGCTGCATCAACTTAATTGCACAGCACATCTGTTTACATTTGGTTTAACCCTATAAACAATTAGAGCAACACCTCCCACAGTTTTTCTCACACATCATCATCATCCTCACAAGCATCCCCCAAGGATGATCAACAAAATGCTGTGCTCTCGTACCATGCGGCAATTAGGCTAATGCATAGAATTAACCCACTGGGGTCAAAGAGCTTTTTTAAAAGAAAATCATTAATCTGTGCATGCTTGTGTCTTTCTGCATGGTAGATTCACTCGCTGGAGGACAAGATTAAATGTTTCCACCGTAAGACTGTTGTAACTCATCTTGGGAGCACATTCAAAGGTAACCTTAACACCATGAATCACTTAGTTCTGCTTCTTGAGCCAGTTTACTTTTAGGTCAGCACAAGAAAGATGCCATGCAAAATGAACACTTTACAATGTCATGGGCAGCCAATAAACTACATACACTACAAGAGGTCACCTAACTTTTTTTATTGTAATTTTTAACGCATAACATAAAGTTATAGATTGTGTTAACGTATGATTTTGATAGTAAGTTACTGTCCCAAGAGCGGAGCTGCTCTGTAGGATCTCCAAGTTGGCGTTTTGACACACTTCCAGTAATCTGCCTACCTTCTTAGATCAGAGATGGGACAAGAGATGCAGATCCTGAGTCGTGTGTGATGGTGTGTGTGTGGTCTGGTTTAACTGTGCTTTTTGAGGACATTTTGGCCAACTAAGCATGATGTTTAGCTTTCTGGTTAAGATTAGAGCTGCGGTTATAATTGGGGTTTGGTTAAGCTCAGAGTAAGGGTTAGGGTTAGACATATAACCGTTGTGGTTAAGGTCAGGGTAGGCCTCTAGGTACTGACTGTAAGTCAATGTAGTATCCTCAAGTATATCATAAACTGAACATGGTGTGTGAGAGAGAGAGAGAGGGGGAAACTGGGAGACTGGGGGAGAATGAATTCTACCCTCCTCTTAGACCTTCCCTGCTGGTGTAATAAAGAGAATCGGCTGTCAGAAGGGGGGCGGTGAAGAAGCCATCCTTGGATTTAATGGGTTTTGCAGATTGTGGTCATAACATTTCCCACACAGGACCCCGCAGCACACAGACTTTTAGTTCTCAAATCTCCTTTATATTATACTATATCATTAATACACATGCTATATCCAACCTGATGCCTACTCTGCCCCTTTGGACTGCTGTACTTGTTAGTGAAAATCTTTGACTCATTACGAATCCTACTTAAATCATCTACATCTGTGTTCCAGGTAGAAGGGCTAATCAGAAGATGGTCAATATCTGGTTTCAAGTCTGTAGCTCACTAGGTGGTGGGATGGTTGCCCAGGCTCAGCTGGGGCTACGTGGGGTCAGCAGCACAAAGGCTTTGGGATTTATTGGTGACCCATTACTTCACGCGAGAGATCAAAGAGTTGTTTGCTCTTCTCTATCACCTTTCCCTGTCCTCCAATCGCACGGCCTCTCTTGGCACTGGGACGTTTGCTGTCATTGCAATGATTATTCCAGATAAGCAGAGAGCAAGTGGGTGTTGTTCCATATGAAAAAGCTGATGGGAATATTTCAATGGTAGAAGCAGCAGTTAAAGTGTTACCAGCCCTACCCATGCTGTAACACAGTTTCCCATTCATAGTTTTCAGAGCTATAATGGTGCTATAGCTCTGGGCGTAGAATTAAAACGTTAATTCTTCGACTCTTACGTTATTATTGTGCTCATGCTGAGCCTCCACATTCTTTCCTGTGCTTATTGTTGGTGCTTAATTTGAACCCATACCTGTGAAGAGGGTGTCTCTCTATATCTTTGCCAACACAAACAAGATGCCCTGGGTTGTTTTTGTGCTTTTATTTTTTTATGTGTCAGAATTCATCTGAATTACTTGACAGTGATGGGCATTGTTGTGTGCTAGTCTTACTTAAAACTAGACAAGAAAAAAAAACACTGTACATTTACAAAAATGTTATTAGAAGTGCATTCTGATTTAGCAATGTTTTGTTTGTTCACTGTAATTCAATTCAAATTAGCTTTATTGGCATGAATGTGTAACAACAATATTGCCAAAGCATCATACATACAACATAAGAACAATCAACCCCATACATTTCATTAAACAAGTAATTAAAGTGTAAAGTAATCAAAGCATATGTGTTTGTGTTAAAAAATAAATTATATTAAAAATTAAAATAAATAAATAAAACTCTGTGTGTGTGTGTGTGTGTGTGTGTGTGTGTGTGTTTTAAAAAAAAACACAATATTTTTAACCAGAAAGTCTCCAGAGGTGCGTTATCTCCTTTAAAAACATGTGGCTGCTTTTACTTGTTTTTGCAGATCCTGGATTCAACAGCACTGATGCACTCTCAGAAGCCACTGAGATGGAGTACCTGAGGAAAGTGTTGTTTGAATACATGATGGGACGGGAAACAAAAGTATGCTTTTTGTCTTACATTATTTTACACAAAAAAACATTGAGTGATTGTGTGTTTATATGATTTAATCTTCTAGTCTTTTCTTTGGTATTTCTGAATGTCAGACATGAAATGCCTTTCTCTATCTTGATGAATGAATGGTTGGTTGACTATGAAAACAGCGGGGACACAGATAGAAATAAGTCCAGGACTTTGTTGGTCTATTGTCAATAAATTAAACCAACCAATTCAAAACCACCAAATAAAAATAATAGCTGATGACGACAGAGACTCAGTCCCCCTTTTTTTGTTTACTGGGTCCCAGAGTACGTCCATCTGCCACACAAAATGTGAGACCATGTTGGACGCCATATAAAAGTCATGTTGTGTCCAGTCTTGTTGGTTAAAATTAACAGCGATCTCCCTCATTAACAGTGCTGTTGACATGGTCCTAAAGTCAGCAGGATTTTCCCAGCTCCGAAACAAACAGTTAGTCTTTATGGCAACATGGCAGACCTCCCCTGTGTGCAGGATGTCCCCTGGGCTGCCTACTAGCACATAAATCTTGCATGACGCACATTTGCCATTTAAAGACATGCTGGTCTTGTTTAGTGTTAGTTGAGCGGTTAGGTTTCCGACACAGCGGTCCTGTTACTGATTATCCCTTGTGTTTATGGGGAAATGCATGCACCCTGGCAGATAGGCTTGGAGTTGATTTCTTTCCCTGTCTTTTTTTTTTTGGTTTTTGTTTTTTGGTCTTGTTGGGCTTCAATTGCTCGGATGCTCTCAGTAGCTCGATTTGATTGGATTAAATCATCATGGTTGTCAAAAGTTAGGGGGTTAGTGTTGGTGTATCTGGTGTTTGTTAAAGGGATGTTGAAATGTGACACAAAAATAAAGACATGTTTAAATGATGATTGTCAAGCTTTTTTAAATGCTTTAATTTATTTGCTCCTAATCCGTAGACGATGGCCAAAGTGATTACCTCTATGCTCAAGTTTCCTCCGGACCAAGCGCAAAAGGTTTTGGACAAAGAAGACTCAAAAACAACTGTAAGCATCTGTTTACCTGCTGAGGATACTTTCATTCAGTCCTCTTGCAGTTAAAAACACATGACTACAATTCTTTATTGATAACTGCATGAGTCATTGAATTAATTCCATCTCTGTCCCTCCACAGCCATGGTTACGATGAGTGTCTGAATGATAAGAGCCCTATTTGGATGAAAATCTGCTGCTGCTGCTGAAAGAGGAAGACTGCCATGGATTTGATCGAGCCCCTCTCTCTGCGACTCTTGTCATTTTATGACTCTGTATGTGTGTGGGTATGTTTTGTATGTGTGTGTTTGAGATCACACTGGGACATAAGAGAGTGTGTGTGTGTGTGTGTGTGTGTGTGTGTGTGTGAGAGAGAGAGAATATATCTAAAGGTATGAGGGAATTGGAGAATAAGCCGGAAACAAAAATCTTCCATGAATCCAGTTTTACTCTGGTTTAATTAAATAAATTAGGTTTAATTTATGTTTTAGAATTGTTGTCTTTTGATTTTAGAATGTGTTTATACAGATTGGCTTGTGCAATAAATTATATCATTACGTATTGATGCTGACAGGTCAGTTGATTTATGGGTTTCTGTGTTGTGCTGTTGTCTGAATTACTTCCTCTAAACGACCCTTTAACTGTGCACTCACACCACATTAAGATATACCGGCCTCTGGACCTTGTTTGTTTAACACAGCTTTTCTATGCTTTGTATATTGTCACTATCACTGACAGAAACACAAAAACTGTAAATTGTACTATGATAATAAAACTGTACTATAGGCCACTATATGACTTCCTATACATTTTCAGATTAACAGATTAAATCCTATTTACAGAACACTTTGTCATTTCTTCATCCTTCTTATTGGACAGTGTTTTACGTTCCAATATCTTATCTCACTGCCTGGTTTTACATTGTTTAGCCTGTCTAACACAGGATAAAGTATGATAACATCCTGTTGACGTAGACACGTGGGATGCAGACATCACAACAGATCTGGGTTTTAATGATCCTGTTGGTAACAGCTCACATAAGCAAGGGTCACCTTTGACCTTGTTCCTTTCCCCTGCAACAAAAATGCAGTTTTTCATACAGAGGACACATACATGTATTAGAACAGAAACCCCCCATTTAATGAGAATCAGAATCAACTTTTTTGGTCAAGTATGTTGATACATGCTTGGAATTTGACTGTCGCTCTCAATATACTTAAACACAGTGCAGAAACGGTATAACTAACATACTGTGCAATGAAACAAATACTGTCAATTTTAACATTAAAAATCCACTCCAGAAATGATTGAAGACGTCAAAGTACTCCGTTCTGAAATGTTTTCCACTGAATTCATGAATAAATCAATGAACAAATGACACCTTTTATCTATTAGAATCTATGAATGTGCAAATTTATGTAAGTATGTTGGACCAGTCATTAGTTCTGATGTCAGACAGTCATGCTTTTTCTCCAGGTCTTAAACTCGGATTTCAGGTGAGCACAGAGATATGTGTCAAAGTCTGCACAAACTGTACAGTACATCGTTCTGCACAGTGAAGCTCATGTATCCAAGTGAAAAAACAATGAGCGAAACAGTTTTGAGTGAAGGGAGGACTTTAAACATAGTGCAAAGAACACATTTACTGTGCAGGAGGATACAAATACAGACATACTGTCAAACAAATGTACACTGGCGGGACCCCCATAAGATTCCAGATGATTAAGAAAAAGCAGAACATATTTCTGCTACACAATATAATACTTGTTTTTCAGTCTCTCCTTTAATCTTTCCTTTTTCTTGTAAATATTGGTAGTTTCTTTCCTCAGGAGTCTTTTCTAATTAAACAAGGAAATCAAAATCAGTCTTAGTTACGACAACTGTTAGCCATGCAACCAAGCAGATAAGGGTTGTTTTAAGGTGACACATGTTGGGAACCGCTGCTGTAATATATGTTATTGTAGGATGATTGTCAAACTCTCTCAGTATAAAGCTTTAATTTAATTTGAACAATGTACTAATATCATTGCCTGATTGTGCTGAGAAATTGCACTGTCCCTTAACTCTGAGAATCTCAGAACTTGAATAAGTAGCCAATAAATCAATGAACTTCTCATTAAAACCCTTTTTAAAAATAAAAAACAAACAAATGAAAATGAGGTTATACTGTTCATTTTGAATGGAAAACGTTAGATGGCAGCAGTGCGCCCTCCTGTCTCAGTTTAGGTGAGTGGAGCCCCCAAAGCTCACGGGTGAAATGTGATGCTTTGCGCCTCAAAACCATTCGCGTCTCTCTATGACCGTGTCAGTGTTTGAGCATGAATCCACATCTTCCGGTTTTACCTTTCACATTAAACCCCTCGCAGACCTTCAACAGTTGGAACAGTGGCTCAACCAACAGCGATGCTTTTATTTTGAGATACACGCCTGTTATTTATGGCTTCGCCGCGTCTAACCTCTTGTCAACTTGACACCATTGACCGCATTTATGTCCACGACAGGGGAGCCTGCGAGCAACAACTTTCTCAGATTGACAATGGAGAGAAGCTGACGCACCGTTATTTACCGGACCGTTAACTTTCCTCCTCAAGCTTCCCCTCATGCCACCACAGCCTACTGCTGCGCCAGACCAAGGGGGAAAAGAACTGAAAGATAGTTTTGTAATAGTTTGACCACTCAAGAGCTGACAATTCCTGCGTATTGTTTTCCTTCTTTCTAGTCACTTTAACCGCGTTATTACGCACGATGCGCAACGGGATGGCTTCTCTCCGGAGACAAAACACGGGATTACAAAATGTTTTTTATGTCTATCTCTCTATTTCAGTGGCTTATTCTTACAATATAGACTTAGAACATCCTTTGGTGTTCCGCGGACCAGATTCTAGTTTTTTTGGCTATTCTGTGCTGGAGCATTATCATGACAACACACGCTGGTGAGTCTTGTGACATATCTACTGTTACTGGAAATGCTGATTTCTGTAGATGCAGTGAATTTTGAACTTTGAAGCACATGTTGAAGTGTGTCTAGAGCTCAGGCTGCATCCACGCCCAATAGGCTACATGCACAACAATAATGGGTAATATTACATTTCTGGTTGTACTGTATTTTTTTCTGCCGGCAATAGCCTATATTTCCTTTTTTTATTTGAAGATTTCAGTTACACTGATTAAACATACTGCGATAAGTTTGACGGGTGTCCCATCCTCTCCCCTCTGCAGGGTAATAGTAGGGGCTCCGAGGGCAAACTCTACCTACAGTAGCTCTGTGCACTCTCCTGGAGCAGTATATAAGTGTCGAGTTCACAGCAACCCGGAGCGCCGCTGCACAGAGATGGATCTCGGACGAGGTCAGTCCCCACTGCCTGCACCATAACTACAAGACCATGTAATGACATTTACACTAACTGCAGCCTCGGGGCAACACATGCACCCACGCACAACATCAACAGCTCAGAAATAAATGCATCTCACAAAAAAGTTCATTATCTGGTGCTACAGTCCACACACACACACACACACACACGCACACACACACACACATATTGAATTTCAGCCTTTTATTTTATTTTTCACTCTTTGTATAAACTCCCCCAAGCATCTGTTTTGTTTTATCAGTATAAAGCAGCCTCATACTGCTCTTAACAGGGCTACAGTTGTTCTTTTAGTTCTGAACCTGCTATATGGAGACATGCAAAAGACAAGAGGGTTCTGTGTGCAGAGGTTCATAAATATTTTGATAAATATGATTTATGCTCCTGCTAATATTTTCCAAGCATGTGAGCCAAAAAGTTAAGTTCAACCCCCCCCAACCCCAGGGCTCTGTTCTTGTGGTCAAGAAAGCCGGCATGCAGGCATTGCTTTAATATTAACCCCGTGCTCAGTCTATGTGTCACCAAAAAACATTGTCACGTTGAACTTTTTCTGCTTGGTGCACAGTGAACTCGGATGAGCCTCTGGGAACCTACAACACAGAGGAACACTTACAGCTACATGCCATTCTCCTGAATCAATTGTCTTCAGGGAGAAAGGGAATAAAACTTGGGGAAACGGGAGGGAAATAGTAATCCATTATTTAAGATTTGGACTCTTAAAAAGTGCCATAGATTTTTGTTTTTGTATTGATTTTTTTTTCTTAATTATGCTATTTATGTTAAGTTTTTCTTGATTTATGTTCTCATTCTCTTTATGATTTATGATCTTCATAAATTGGTCCACTGTTAAAAGTCACTAATGATTATAGCATTACAAAGCAGTATAAGATACATACACATTAGTAAATGATAAGTAAATTATTTGGACTTTTTCCTTGGGCTCAAAGAAATTGTGTGTAAGAGGTTAGTGCAGACTGAGGTGTGGACACAAATGCAGACAATACGAGAGGTGGTGCAGTTCAGAAAATATTTATTTACTCAAAACTTAAACAGGCTTCCACAGGAGCTTGAGGCAAAAGTCCAGACAAAGGTAATTCCAACAGAAACATAATCCACAGTCAAAATCCAAAAACAAGGAACAAAGTCCTATCCAAAGGTAAGATCCAAAAACACAGAGAACAGAGCACAGACAACCCAAGACAGACGATACAAGCAGGCATATATACACAGGGACTAACGAGCGGGGCGGGAGCAACACAGGTGATGGGAATCAGGACTAATGAGACACAGGCAGGCAGAGAGACAGCAGGGGCAAACAGATAGACACCAATAAGGCCATAGGGAAACTAATAGAAAAATATAAATAACTGATCCAGAACATAAGTAGACAGATCCCAAATATACCAATAAACCACAACTAACAGGGAAAACAGACTGAACTACGATTAAACAGAACACAGAGCAAACATGGACATAATAATACAGAAGTACACAGACCAGGACTAGACACTAAGACACGAATTAAAATGCAGGACAAAACTAGAATACGAGACAATACAGATACTAAGAAAACTTAAACATACGAATGAACAAAGGACTAAACTTAGCTACAAAACCCTAAACATGACAAGATCAAAGTTAGCTATAGAAACACAGAATCTAAAACCAAACCCATGAAAACAGATAGAGTAAACTAGAACATGTGAATAAATAAACAAGGCTACACAGAGAAACACAGAACCAAAACCAGACTTAAACAGGAAAACATGAACACAAACCACACTCCTAACATTGTGAGGGTATTTTTCATTGTTTCTTATGTTTTATTGAGCAAACAATTCAAAATTTATTTAAGAAAATAATTGGCAGATTACTTAATTATGAAATTAATCATTATTTGCAGGCCTAAAGGGAGCCATTTAAAAAGATTTGTTTATGTTTTAATGTAGAAAATGGAATATTAGCCAATATATTGTTGTCTTGTTTAACATTCAAGTATTCATATTAACCTCCAATATCCAGTGGCGTTGGCCTTTACTAAATGTCATAATAGACATAGGTGGCTGACAGTATTGACAGAAGAAGTGTTGTGAAACATTTCAGATATCTGCAAACCATTTCCTGTTTTTAATGTTTCATCTACAGAATTTCAAACTGTCAGCTATATAAAAATCACTCGTGCATTCAGCACAAATAAAGAATAAAACCAAGAATTCATAAAGCTGACAGTGTCTTGGAGCAAGTAACTTGAATGTTAAGTAACTTGTTACTTGCTCCAAGACATCCTCCGTCCTGATGACTCAACAACTGCAAACTTCTCTCATCATTCTTTCAGGAAACAAGCCGAGAGAGTCGTGTGGGAAGACATGCCAAGGAGACCGGGATGACGAGTGGATGGGGGTCAGCCTGGCCCGCCAGGACAGTGCCGACGGTAAAATACTGGTGAGTTCGGGGACCTGATTACACCAACATCATTGTTACAGATCTCTTACCATGAACCGTACTTTTCAACCACAGCTGGCCTCAACATTTCAACCCTCCTTTAGTTTTATGTGCTTGCAAGCTTTGAATTGCACAAGTAAAAACAGAATTTAAAAGATTTACTTTCTTTTTTTGCCTAACAACTAAAGTCAGACAGATTTGGAAACTGATGTGTAGTTACATAATACCATGAAACATTTACCTCGTGTTTGGAGCTGGATGAGCCAGTGGAACAGGGTTTGTCAAGAGTAGATTGTTGTTTATAAAACTTGAAAGAGGGATTTAGAGAAATAGACTAACTAGTGGTGCTAATCCCAGAGGTGCTTGGCTGGGTATTTGCACGCAGATCGTAGGGGCAGCTGGCAGAGTTTGTTTAGGCTTCAGCCCCTCTGCGGTGGTCCCGTCAAAGGGCAGCCTTTCATTAAACGTTAACCCCCGTCTCCTGTGTGGTGGCTAGCAAGGGAACTAGCAGTCATCCAGGGCAGTTTGAAGGCGACTGGTGGACTGTACAACCCTTGAAGCACTCATGACAGGTGTGAATGTGTTTGAATACCTGTGCTGATTGAAAGAAATCCCAAGAATTCCTCCCTCTACAGGCGTCCACAGAACTGTTGGGCCTGTTAAACCTCTATTCCTTTCAATATGTTTGTCTTTGTATTTTTTTAATACCTCAGTGGAATGCATTGGCATGATTTTAATCACCTTTGGCTCTACTTGCCAGTCAGGCCGTCAAAATGTGAAGATTTCTTGGAGCTGTCAGTCTTGGGAATTTGAGCGTGGAGTTGTATAACAACAAGCTTTTAGCTGCAGACTCTTTGGCCGTCTAGACAGGGTTATGATAAAAGAACGGTGGTGACTTTCCAGAGCCACGTGTTGCTGTGCTTCTCCAAAGCACTGGTGTTTTTTTTTTCTTCTTCTTTTTTAAAAATCTCATTTGAATGGACTCACGTTTCTGTGCAACAGGGAACAAGGAAACGGCTGCTTGGCAGATGTGTACAGTGGTGATTTCATCTGCGTTTTCAGTGAAGGCCTTGTTTGTGGCCAGTGAGCCCTTTCGCTGAACAGGAACATGACAACAGCCCAGATTCGGGCTTCGACAGAACTTGTCAGCTGCTCCAAGAGCCCCTTTTGCTATGTTTATGTCAGCGGATTGATCTATCTAAGAATCTCCTTCTACTCAAGAGGGAGAGTTTATGCTTATTGCTACTACGGTTGGCCAAGCTGTACTTTGAAACACAAGTGTTTCTCAATATAGCATCTTGCATCCAGACAGTCATCTGACACTCTGTGTGCACCCACAATCACAATCTGCAGAGCTATTATATTTATTTAGATTGGCTGCGTGTGTGTTCGGTGGGGGTGTTAAAAAGTGTGAGGGGAAATGAAGTGAACTTTGTCTGCACAGAGGCGTCCAGATCTGTCCCCAGAGCCACAGGAGACCCACCACCATCCCCCCAAGTTACTAAATTATTACCGCATTTACACATTTATGTGGCTCGATCTGTGCAGAGTTTGAAATCCAGCTTTTATTATCCTGCTTCCTCATCGATTTGTGGAATGTTTTATTTTGAAAAACACAGTGCCAAAATATTGTTTTGAGAATTTCTCACTGTCAGTTTTAGGAATGTACTGTACCCCCTGTTTCAGCAGCAGTGTAATAAAGTCAGAGTTTGTGCTCTGTCTTTTGATCCACTTGTCTTTTTTGCTGTCTGAACGTTTTGCTCCTCCGACTGCCCGTAAAGCCTGGAGGAGCTGTTTTGAAATGAAAACCTTTAAAACACTGATGTTGTGTCAAGATTTTCTCACTGCACGTTAAATGCTGCTTGGGAAAAACATAGATCTCACGCTGCAGCTGAGAAATTCACACCACAGACCATGGCTGTTATGGTCAGGGTTATGGATGGGCCTTAATTCCCCCTCTCATTGACGAACATTTGACAGCCACAGAGACGAACTGACTCCAGCCCAGCGAGGAAGGGGCTAAAAACTATCAGCGTGGTCAAGGAATGCCTGCCTGCAGTCTGTGTGTGAAGTGTTTGTGTTTACAAAATGAACATGTGTCTGAACTTGTTTGTTCTTACAGGCTTGTGCTCACCGCTGGAAAAACATCTACTACGACTCAGAGCACATCCTTCCACATGGATACTGCTCCATCATTCCCCCGACTCTTCAGGGAAGGACGAAACCGCTCATCCCTTGTTATGAAGGTACAGTAAAGGCACCGTGATAGACAAGTACAGTACACGTTTTTATTTAGTTTTTCTTCATTTTAATACATTTTCAATTCTCAGACATCAACACTCGGAAAAGACCTCTTAAAATCAAGCAAAGATACAGGTTATCTTAGAAGATGCAATATTGTTTATATGGGAATAACATAATTTATAGTGTCTCCTGGAAGGCATTGAGAGTCTACATGGCCTGAGGGTTCCAGACCACCAGTTTGGGAACCACTGGTTTAGTCTGTTTATTCTCATCTGTGGTTAAATTTTTATCATGGCACATGATCTCTGTAGCCAGCACCATCAGTGTGAAAGCCCCCACATCTGCTTCTGGCCTCTGAGTGGAGCTGTAGCAGGAGAGCATTGAACTGTGATCTCTCTTCCTCAGTCCAAAACAAGTACTTTAGCAAGAGCCAGCTCCCACTACTGAAGGGCACACCATGTGTTAAGGTGAATGTATGAGCATTTGTCCATTGGAGATTGAGAGTTTGAATTCCCTATCCAATTTTTTTTTTTTTTTGCAAAACAAAATATTTGGCAGATCTTGGCTTGATTTTCCAGAAATCAGGTGCTTTTAAGGACAGATTTGCTTGCAGGGTAGAGAAATCAGATTGTGTTATGATTGTAGTAAATCAAATCTATTTGGGCTGCAGGTTGTTTTCCTTTGCGCACCCTCTGCAACACTAAAAGGTTCCATAAAAAAAGAAGAATGTACCGTATAACATTTTAAGCTGACTCATGCAAATGTGTTCTTCATATGTTTTGATATGTGACTCAGAGCTATTTATCAAAGGCTGTTTTAGACCTTAATTGTGCTCCCAGGTCAGGATTTCACTTCCTTCCGTAACTCGTTGCCAACAGTTGTGGAGAAGCCAGACAGACTTTGCATGGGACCGTATTTACAGTGCATTTTGTGCAGATCCAAGCTCAATATTTTTGTAACCTGAGAGCCCCCCCCCCACCACCCTACCCAGAAAGTAAGAGGTCTTGTTGTTGAATGTGGTGTTGCACCCCTTCCCTCAGTCAGCTTTCTGCTCCCAGATTTGTCGTAGATGGAACTGTGACTTTGACTAGCTCCATATGGAATGCAGGAAAAACTCCAGTAACTGCTGGCTTGAGCACACAGTGAAATAATTTGTGGTTTGTTTTTTCTTACAGACCATAAGCAGAAGTATGGGGAAGAGCACGGCTCATGCCAGGCCGGGATAGCGGGAGTTTTTACGGAGGTCAGTAACGGCGCTTGTTCATCTTCTTAATCCATTTTAGACTCTCTGTTCGCCTAACATGGAGGTAGTTGTTGGATGTCTTCCAAACTCTTGTCTGGTCAATCGTGGAGCTTCATCAGTCACTTCACTGTTTGGTTAGCTGAGCGGTTCAATCACGTCTTTAAAAATAAACAATAACACCAACAACAAAAAACAGTTTGTGTTCATTGCATTTTCATGTTATATGTCGTTCTTATCTTCCATACTGTCTCTGTTTGCTTATCTGGGAACTCGTTTTCTCACTTGAAAGTATGATAACCGTTAACATTACCACATTCCTAATATTTCAAAGAATCTTTTATTTTTACTTCCTATTTGTTGACCTTGACTCTGGGATTCTGGGGATAGTTAGCAGAGCTGTTATGTAGGGTGTTGAGTGGGATTTTCCCACCAAGTTGTTTAAGAGGTCAAATGATGTGGAAAATCTGAATCCTACAGTAAGATATACAGTATTTGTTGGCAGCCAACGCTCTGCTGACTAACTGCTGATAATTGTTAACTTATGTTTCCATAGGCAGACGCAAGCTGCAGCGGCCTCACATGGCCTGTGGTGTGGTTCCACAAGATAAAGCATTTATAAAAATACGAGTTTCCTTTACATAAATGCACTTCTATTTTTGTATTGACAGCATGACATCATCCTTGGTGAAAGGCACAATGCCTTTTTGCATCTTACAAATATCTTTCCCACACATTTGTCTGCAGAAAGGGGAAGCTGGTTCAGTGAGAGGGAGGTCATATAGATTTAACGTATAAAGGCATTTGAGCAAATATATAGTTTGACACGAAAGGATGTGCATATGAGGAGTAATGTAATGAATGTAAATTTGAATGTATATTTGACCCATTTAGACATTTTTTTTTGTATACATTAGCAATATAATTCTTTCCTGATGTTCCCCGTGAGTGGCACGTTCTGCAAGGATGCTTTTTAAATCTGAAATTACAGTTACGTTCAATTTGGGACACACAGATAAGACTATTCTCATTGGTGAGAAAGAGCCGCAAACATTAGTCGATTAGCAGAAAATTCCCTGACAGCTGTTTTAAACATCAAGCATGTAATTCTTTAAGCAGCAACTTCAATGATTTTTTGCTTCTCCAATGTGAGTATTTGCTGGTTTTATAATTGTGAACTGGATATCTTTGGGTTTTGGACCGTTGGTTGAACAACGTGGGAGATTTTTCACTGTTCTTTGACCTTTAATGATTATCAAGGAAAAAAATGGCAGATTAATCACACATAAAAAGAATCATTAGCTGTAGCCTTAAACACCAATTTTAATTAGCTACATTTACAAAGACACATGCATGATAGACTAAAGAGCACAAGAGTCACACATGGCTTCCCTTGTAAAAATGCTTTTCCTTTCACAGATACTAAAATAGAAACGTTTCACGAATCTTGCTCACGGCTTTCTCATGAAGACTGAGGCTCGTAGCCGTGTATGTTGTAATTTTTAGTCAGGTTTAGTTTCATTATTTTATCACATAAAACCACATGATTTATAAGCTGAAAAGAACTGTACAGGAGTGGAGCTTGTACAAGGAACTTCGCCAAGTTGTTATGTAACATACAAATGGTTCAGTCCACATCACACGAAACCTGTAAATAACACTAGAGAGAAGACTTTTGGCTTTAGGGGGAAAAAGATTCTGATAATGTTGGATTCCACAATGATTTCACTGTTTTAATACCAAAGACAAAACATCCAACCCACTTTTTCAGGGGATGTCAATGCTGATCTGTTAAAGTGTTTGAACAACCCCCCCTCGAAAGAATGTGAGGAATTTAAAGAAAAGATGTCCAACTGTTAAACCTTATCCTTGTCTGAACCATTGTGCACACGCCTGGTGGTGCCCAGATGTTTGACACCACAGTGCAGGGGAAATATACTGCTGAGTAAGGTCCTTAGTGTGCTGCTCAGCTTGTTTGAGTTCTCAGTGGCAGCCTCACATCCTGTGTCACTGATAACATCAGCCGTGAAGATCAGGCAGTGGTGAGCAATGGTGCAACAGTTTTAGTGTAGGGCAAAACAGAAAATCTTAATTGTCGCTGGTTCCTTTAATAGCTGTGGACGTTGTGAACAGCTCACTTTACAACTGTCAGTTTTGCTTGGGCTCCAAATTCCTCATCACATCAAAGGAGCTGGCATGCCATCTGGCCGAGTGGTTAAGTGCTGATAGCACAAACCAGTCTGTGGCCTTTGGTTAACCAGACGTCCAACCAGCAGCGTATATTTGTTTTTTTTCCCCTTCAGCATGCCATTGCAGCGCAGACAGAAGGTGAATCACTGATCTGAGTGAATGTTTTCAATTTCAGGGGCTGGTGGTGATGGGGGCACCGGGGTCATACTACTGGACTGGGACGATCAAGGTGTACAACCTGACTTCTGACTCCTTCTACAGCCTGAACAAAGAAGATGTCGACTCCCACAGATACAGCTACCTTGGTGAGAGCCTGTTAATGAGGATCATTGTGTTGAATGTCAAATATATCGGAAGACAAAGGTGCTGTGACTGATTACTGTCTGCGTCTCCAGGCTATGCTGTGACGGCTGGACACTTCTCCTCTCCTAATGTAATAGACGTAGCTGCAGGGGCTCCTCAGCACAGCGGCAGTGGAAAAGTAGGGACTTCATCTTTTGTCTTGTTTCCAGCTGTTGAACCGATGTCGTCTTATGTTTCTTGCTTCAGTGAATTGTTTGTTTCCCTCACAGGTTTACATTTTCAAAATCGATGGTGGGACTTTGGTGAAGAGTTTTCAAGCCTCAGGGAAAATGGTATGAGCTTGGATGTGGTCTTATATTATTCTTCTGTTTTTAATCATAATACAGCATATATTTTGCATTTAGGCTATTGTTAAACTGTACGTTTTCATCAGGAACAGTATTTTATTTTACCTAATCTGCCTCAGGGATCATGTGGTTGATTCTTGCAATGCATTGCAGACACACCACTCTAATTTCTTTGTTGTCAGAACTGCACTGTTTATGTCTGCGCTAAGTGTTTAGACAGCGATAGCAATATTGAAGAAGGAACATACCAAACAACCAAAGCCAGGGAGGTAGCTAATGCTTTCCATTCAGAGTGAAGAAAAGGAAGTCAGGGTAGCTTTGAGGCGTAAGTTGTGTAAAATTCCTTTAATATTGGTATACATATAAAAGGACAAATAAATCCAGTCAGACTACGAATTGTACATGTCAATCGTATGAACTGAAGAAGTAGTGTCTGTGATCTGACCCATTGCTCTGTGGCTCGGCTTGGTTCCAGATGGGCTCTTACTTTGGCTCCTCATTGTGTGCAGTTGATCTGAACCAGGACGGCCTTTCGGACCTGCTTGTGGGGGCACCCATGCACAGCCAGCTCCGTGATGAGGGCCAGGTGTCTGTGTACCTCAGCAAGGGCAATGTGAGTGGGATCCATGGGTCGGTGGGAACATGATACCATAACTTGCATATTTATTTTACTACAGTCTGCCCAGTCTCCCTCTTCGAACTACACAGGTGTACATTTCTATACTGTTATTACTATATGCAGTGTCGATTTTTAGCTTTGCACGTCTGATTTCTTTCTGGCCGTGTTTGTTATCACGAAACTGGAATAAAACAGTGGAGCTTTGTGTGATTCAGCAGTGAGATTATTTAACCGACCAAGACTAGAGCTTCTGTTTATACATTTTATATTTATGAGTTATTGCGAGGAAGCAGACTGTCTGTTTGGTTGTTAAATTGTTTGTATAAAAGCCAAGTAACTGCAGAAAAGCTGCAATAATTTCACTGCTGCTGTTTACTATAGCACCTTCCTTTTTCTGCTGCCAGCTCAATTGACTACCTGCTGCTATTTTCAGGGGGTGATGGAGGAGGAAGGTGTTTTGAGCGGTGACAATGCTTTCAATGCACACTTTGGAGAATGCATCTCTGCAATCGGAGACATAGATGACGATGGATATCAAGGTCAGTATGAAGTACTGTAATAACATGTTAGAAACTGCCTGCTTGACAAAACAGCGTCCACTCACTTGCTTGTTCTGGAGCTTTTGACTATCACATGGTCTTCATCAACAGTTGGCTGAAAAGTTTTAATAAGTTATTTTTAAATTATAAATAAATTATGTTTTATATGATAAGTATTTCATATGTCTGTATATAATTTTTAAACACTCTGTGGATTGTCAATAGGAAGACAGAGAAATAGAGATACTTAAAATGGTGGTTCCCAACCTGTGGGTCAAAACTCCTTCAGTGGGTCACAACATAAATCAAAGGGGCCGTGAGATGAAAGGCAGTTCTGCTACAAAAAATGTATTTTATTTTAATGCACTTTTCTCTTAATCTTGTTTCTCTGTGAAATCTTTAATTAGTTTTATCTCTTTGAGCCTTAAACAAATGTTCAGTACCACAACTCAAGAACTTTAGAGGGAGAAATCACTATTTAAAGGAACTGCTCCAACTGATAGACATCTTAAACTGTGATAAGGGGTCACAAGAAGACGGAGGGATTTCAAAACTTAAAATTCAAAACTACTGGTATTGTCCTTTAAACCCTAAACTATCTGTGGACATGCCCTGTAGTCATGCAGCAAAGCTATTTCCTCTGTCATCTGGTGAATAATAAATTCACACAGTTTATATTCAGCACGTCAGCCCACAAGCAAAGGCTGGTTGAGATGCTCTGTAGAAACAAAACTCGTCATTTTCACAGACATTTTGTTTCGATTACCCTGCGGCGAGGGGGATCTAAACTATTTCCCTCTCTGACCCTTGCGTACACAGAGTTATCCAGACGTGAACCAAATTATCCTCACAGACAGAGACATACATTTTACGCTGTCTGTTTTCCTGGCACTCGTATGGCTTGGCTCTCAGGGCTCCGCTTGGCGTCCGTCTCACACTCGAGGCTGGAAGCTGCTGCCCCGGTTTCATCTCCGTGTGAGATATGCCTCGAGGCTTGCAGCCTGGCACATTGTGTGTGTGTGTGTGTGTGTGTGTGTGTGTGTGTGTGTGTGTGTGTGTGGAAAAAGATGGGGCAGCTGGGAAGTATAACTCATCTTGTTACTCGTCACTCTTGTAGTGTAGAAAGAGCCAGACTTGCTCGCTGACTGACATCTTTTATTTACAGCAAAACTGCTACCATTTAATTTGAAAGAGCTACTGTAGAAATCATAATACACATTTGGTTTCACTAACAAATCACTTGTTTCATTTAATTATTGTGTGGTATTTACTAAATGAAAAGTGCCATTCTTTTACCATTTCTGCTTTGGTATGCTGCACCACATGGCATGGAAGCGTTTTGGTTTATAAAAAGAAAGTGTATATATGGACTTTCTGTGGAAATAGGATAAGGAGACGTTGTTTCAATGCTCTTGCCAGCACTTTATAGTCTTGTTTCCACTCTCTCAGAGGTCGGACACATTTTTATGACCACTAACAACACTTAATTGTCTATTAAGAGCCTCACTGTAACAGCTTGTTTCCCAGGCACTGGCCAGCAGAAAGTAAACAGCAGGTTAATGAAGGCTTTTGTACAAGTTCACAAACACACACATCATTTATGTTCGTGTTCGTTTCCATGCCACTAACACTTTTTGGCCTCTACTTATCTCTTCAGATGTGGCCATAGGAGCACCTAAAGAGGATGATTACGGAGGAGCCGTTTATATCTACCATGGGGATGCCACAGGAATCATCAGCAAATACTCCATGGTAAAAACACTTCCTAGTGTCACACAACATGCCAACATTTCTATATGTAATAGTTTCTCTATAAAGAACCAACACATGCAACATTTTGATGAAAACCATGTGTTCACCTTGTGAATCTACGCAGTAGCTGTTGAAGCAGCTGAGTAATGTGTGGTAAAGTCGCAGGTGGTGATGTAGCCTGGGGAATACACAGAGCCACGAAGCTTCACAGGCTTCTTTATTCCTTTCTATTTTTTTATGTTAAAAATCTGCTGTTCAACCTCCACATGTGGTAGACCACCATCATTACTGAGATGTTTTGTTCAAATGAAACAGCAGTCACTTGTTTGTGTTAGAGTGTGTGGCAGTGACAGGTCATTGTATTAAATTATTCAAACCGAAAGCTCATTTTCATTCAAGCTTTTTCATTTAAGCTGTAATGTTCGGTTTCTTAGTGGATCAAGCATGGCACTATTTGCCAGTTGTATGGGTTGTGATTTCCAACAGGGCATCCCCTGTTAGGCTAATTAAAATACACTTATTCAAATTTCTGCCTAGAGTTAGAACCTGGAGGCGACTAGCTTAGCTTAGCAAAAAGACTGGCGACAACAGCTAGCCTCTATCTGAAGATAAAATTATCCGTACATCTCAAGCTCACTTATTAACCTAATTTATCTAATTTGTTTAATCCGTACAGAAACTTGTGTATTTTACAAATGTAAAAGCGACAAGTTGTGGTTTTACGTGGAGTTACGTGCTCTAACTATTACAGTGGCTGGCCGCAGTTACATCTTTATTGTTACCGTGAGCTCAGTACACTGTTAGTCAAGAAATTGTTTGTGTAGAGTTTAAACCAACAATATCTAACGTGCTATTTTAGAGGTGTTGGTTGGTATATTTTTGAACTCTGGAGAGAGCCCGGCTAGCTGTTTCCCCCCGTTTCCCCAGACTTAATGCTATACTACTGAATCTGTTATTTATTGTAAATCTGTAAAAACAAAGATCATTCTTCTATGAAAAACAAATTCAGAGCAAAAACAACTCATGCAATGTGCTCTTTTTTCCATGTTGGCTCACAATGTGTTATTTGAAGGCTGGTATCATCTGTTACAGAAACTGTCTGGGCGGACTGTAAACCCTGGTCTGCAGATGTTTGGCCAGTCAGTCTCTGGCAATGTGGACATGGATGGCAACGGATACGCAGGTACAGTCATACCAGACTAGATCGTGGCTTTTCATGACCATATCAAGACAATAAGATGAAAACATCAAATAGGAAAGGATGGGTTTATTAAATATTTAGCTTTTCACCCTCATGGTTCTCTCATTCTCTTGCAACAGCAGTGCAAAAACTCGTGATAGAGGCATCTTGTTTACTACATTCCACAGCTGACATTCAGACTTAGCCAGCATGACAGTTAACGACCTCTGTGCATTGTGTTGGATTTGCAGGTGTGAGGAGTGCTGTCAGCAGATTTTGCATTAATGTCTTCTTCCAAATCAGTCATGTTTATGTTTTTCTTGCAGATGTCACTATCGGGGCTTTCATGTCAGACAGTGTGGTGCTGCTGAGGTGAGTAACTGGATCAGTCTCTGTGACACTGCAGTATTTTTCTACTTCTGAGTCATTTTAATGTCCGGTCTCTCCCACGCTGTGTTCCTGTGTTGGTTGGTGTGCTTGTAGGACCCGGCCTGTCATTACGGTGGATGTCTCCATCTTCCTGCCCGTCTCCATCAACATCTCTGTGCCGCAGTGCCACGAGGGCCACCAGAACCTAAACTGCTTCAATGTCACCGTCTGCATGCGCTTCCGGGGAAGACATCTGCCCGGACAGATAGGTGAGGACAAATCCTGACCTGAGAAACCTCACAAATGTTGTCAGTCCACTCTGAAAGGGCCACTTCATGACTTGTGACTGATATTATTTGCACAGACCGCACTGCTCTCACCTAATGAAACAAAAACATATTTCCACATTTGCGAAGAGTAAGCTAGTTTATTAGAGAACAGATAAAAAATACAGAATTCTTGAAACATTTTTCGTTTTGTGTGGCTTAAGGGGATAGTTTGATATATTGCGAAATTTGTGTATTGGTTTTCTTGTCCAGAGTCTAAAGATTGATACCACTCGTGTCTGTGTGTTAGTATGGAGCTACAGCCAGGAGGCGATTAACTTAGCTTAGCATAGCATAAAGACTGGAAGCATGGGGAAACAGCTAGCCTCCAAATAAAAAAAACAGTCTTTACACCTCTAAAACTTAGTAATTAACATGTGGTACCTTATTTGTTTATCTCATCTGTACAATCAGAAATATCAAAACTGGCGTTGTGGTTTTACAGCGAGTTAAGTACTGTGTTTCTTGGCGACCAGTGTCCTGGCAAATTGACTTTCTTGAGTCTTGTCATCACTGTGAATTTTGAAAGTGAATCTCATAAGTCACAGTAGGTCTGTGTCACTGGTGTTGATCAACAACCCCGTCGAAGCCGTGCAGATATTGTGTATTTTGGTCATTTTGTGTTGTGAGGAAGTGAAATTCATAGTACTTGAACTTTTAGTGGTCATTTAAATGGCGAAAATATGTAAACACGATCATGCTGAGCAATTCTCCCCGTGCTTGGAGACGGTCAGCGTGGTTAGCCTTTGTCCTGCGGCTGAGTGTCAGTGTGTTTGGCCGATGGTTCAGCCTTTGCTAACTGGCTCATGGGTGCGGTGCCTGTTGATTGCTGAGGTGCAGTCCTGTTCCAGTGTTTGGGTGTGGTCAGTCACAGCGCCCCCCCACCCCCCCAGGAGTGCAGGAGCCCTGTCGTTACCTAATGACTATGTCCTGGCTTGTTGACTAAAGCTTCTCTGTTTAGCTGTCTGGCGAACGCCATGGAAAGTGCAGCACCATGTGTTTGGTGACTCCCATAATGAAACCTTCCTTTGGCTCATCTGTAGTGAGCTCATGGCGTTCCCTGTGTTGGATGGAGGAAACAGTAGGCCTTGGTCCAACTGGGGGTGTGTTTGCCACACTTCCCACTGTTTTACCAGCATGACACCCTCTTGAAGCAATTACTACAGACTGAGGCTGATTCATTCAAGGAATGAATTTTAAATGGCCCATATAAGGTTTTCTCGGAAATGCTGGTAATGTTTAACCATGCTAAAGATTTCTTCAGAAAACTGCCTTGTGTCACTAAAGCATGGGGTATAATCAACAGGTTTGTAAGAGTTGTACAGTTGCAATTGAAATGTTTTCTTTCACATTAATACTAGTTACATTAAATCTACTGAAATTAGTACTGTTTTCATTACACAACACGAAACAAAGGCCTCTTGTTAAGTTAAACTAATATCAGATGATTTGACCAAGAAATTTCAAACATGTTCCCATATTCCCTCTGACACTTTCATTTTAATGCAATAAGCCGTCAATTATTTCTTCCCATGTTTTGATGGCAGCGATTTGGGAAAAAACCTTTAAACCTCTACATACTTCAAGTGTTTCCCAAGATTATCTTTACTCAAAGAACCATCGCTGTCAGTTGATGTTATGTGTGACAGTGTTTCTGTCTCTGCTTAGAGTTGCTGTATAACTTGACAGCTGATGTGGATAAGCGACATAAGAGCCAGCCTTCCCGGGTCTACTTCACTCAAAGTGGTTCTCAGATCAGCAAGATGAGCCACCAGCTCAGCCTGGAAATCAACAGGGAGGAGTGCCAGCGCTACACTGCCTACGTTAAGGTAAGGTTGGATTTTTTGGTCTGAGCGCTGGCTGTGACCCATGTGCTGCTCATGTCCTCAGCTGATCTTTCCCATAACCTTGAGCACTCTGCAATGTTGATGTGTGATTTGAGTTATTTGCTTCTGTGGTCTGTTTGTCTTTCTTATCTGTTTATGTAATTTTTGGATGGAGCATCAAAGTCCGGACTGTACGTTTCCAGCTAAAATGTTTAGACCAAAACAAGGGGAAAATTATAATGTCAAGAAAAAGTAAGGGCCATCATATAGCTCATAGTGGTGTAAGAGAAGTGACCGCTTTAGATGAATGTCTACAGATCAACCGGCAGCAGCTGGGAAGGTCTTTGTGTCACCCTGCTGGGTTAGGTTAAAGGTAACAATCAGGCGCTTGATGGTTCGTGAAGCCATGCTGCTCAAGTGTGCGTCTGCAGAAACTGACAGAAACAGGAAACAGAGTCTCCTTTGTCATTGCATAGTCCCTCTATTATGTTCCTCTGTGATCTAGCCGTGTAGCCTCAGAGAGGGTCCTCGTCCTGAGGGCACCATCCATGTTTCACCTTCTCTAATACGGAGGCCCACTGTGGGCCTGTAAATTTCAGTGGCATTCTTAACTGTGCTCACCAGGCGCTTTCACCGTGGGAGGCTGAGCTGCCAACAGATGGGGGCTGTCATCCCTCTCTTCTGTCAAGCATACAGACTATAATGAGCGTTTATCATACAGAGCAGTTGCACCAATAAGCTGCTTTATTCATCACAACTTACACATCACAGTTATCAGTGAGGTCAGGTACGTGTTTATCCAGGTTCTTCAGTAAACCTGGATAGAAGATACTAAACATTTCAAATTTAATTTTCACCTCTCTCCGTCTGTGTTTCAACACAGAACTTTAATGGGAGGGTAAGTCATGTAAAGTAGTGTTTCTGCCCAAAGTAAATTTCAACACTTGAACAAAACATCTTTAGGTTTGTGGGTGGGCAAGGGAACAGTCAGGGACAGGGATCAGTCTGTCGTAGCTCGTAGCTGCCACATATCTGTGGCATCTCTCGAGCTGTGAGGTAAACACACTTATACTTTAAGTGCCATCCTTCAGGCCAGATGGTACTTCAGGGATCATATGTATTTTACAGCTCTGGAATAGTTCGTTTGTGAGACATTTTGGGTAATAAACTTCTTTGCTTTCACGAGTTAGATGACAAGATCGATACCACTCTCATGTCTGTATGTTCATGGTAAAGCTGGAGCCGGGAGGCAGTCCGCTTGGCTTAGCATAAAGACTGGAAACTGGGGGAAACTGCTAGCCTGGCTCTGTCCAAAAGCAAGAAAAAAATTCTGCCTACCAACATCTGTAAAGCTCACTAATTAACATGTTATATCACGTTTCTTTTATCCATACTAAAACTGTAAAGAAACAGCTGGCATTTTTTGACCAGCACCTTTAAAGGTCACTATATAAACATCTCCTTCTCTTAATCCGCACAAAAACTGAAATGTAAAAACAACAAGTTGCAGACTCCAGGAAATTAATACTACACTTGTCGTTTTTTATTTCAGATTTTGTATGGATTAAGCAAAGGAGATTAGTGACCTTTAAAGGTGCTGGTAGATTTTTTTAAAAACTTTTGAACAAAGCCATGGAAGTTGTTTCCCCTGTTTCCAGTCTTTATGCTAAGTGACCTGTTATGTTAACCATCTCTTGGCTCCAGCTTCAAATTATTCTGAAACACTGAATGGTATTGATCTTCTGATCAAAATCTTAGCCAAAAAAGTGAAGTAAGCGTATTTTCCAAAATGTCAAGCTATTTCTTTAATACTCATTTCTTTAATATATTTAAGGTTATAGATGACGAGTGTCTTTTGAGGTGACCTCATGGACATAACATTACATCTTTTGTCTGTAGGAGTATTTGGATTGGCTTGACTGAGATGTTGAGTGCAGTATGGTTGACACTCCAGCTGTGTGGATTATTATTTTTTGCTGCTCCGCAGCAAAAAGCAGAGGTGGGATTGCTAGAGAGTTACTAAAAGCTGAAAAGCCACACAGGACGGTGAAGGTGTGGTGCCCAAATTACCACCATACCAAACTGTTTACAGGATGAATGGCCTTAGAGATGTATGAAAAGTAAAGGGGACAAAGATTATGACCCAGCATGATAACTGTCATGTGTCATGAGTCTTCATCATTATACTTTGTCCTAAAGTTGAGAGAAGAGCTGAAGAATCACCATAATCAGAGGTGATCTGGCTCCGCTCTGAGACAGGGTCTAGTCTGCTTGACCAATCGCATCTTCCTCATGTGTCTGCCCACATGAGCCAGTCCTCCCATTCCCCAGAAGAGGTATGCTAATGCAAACCAGCTGGTTGCCCGACTTCATCCTCAAGCAATTGTGCACCCCCGCCCCATCCGTCTCTCAGCTAAAACATACAGTGAAAACGCCGGACTGAGGCTAGCGTCACAGCAGGATCTTGGGCTGCTGTTGTGTCAACTGGAAATGCATGCTGGCGCTGCTGATGGAAAACCCTCACGTCAGGGTTGATTGCTCAAGCCCTGATGCATGAGGGCCTCTGGAAGCAGGCCATGTGCTATTCTGAGCCACTCTCACGTTTGTAAGTCCACTGACCATCTGTTGACCCCGTTTGTGGACTATCTAAATTATATAAACACTTTTAAAGGACCTCGGTTAATAGCTAAACTTAATAAGGCACTGTTAAAGTTGTATTTGCTCTGCATAATGTACATGCAGCAACAGGACTGAAACAGACATGCTCAGTTTTCACCATCTGAAATCAAGTAAAGCGCTGGAGCAGCAACTCAGTAAATCATGTAATGTTGAGAACACAAGGGCATAACAGAAGTTATTCAGAGAGCACAGAGTACAGAAGCCAATTAGTTCAGTCTCCAACTTTTTTTCAAGAGTAATTCCTCCTGAAATTATGCAAGTCTTTCATGTTGATCATTTTAAACATGTTTTCATTGGCACCGACTAACAGCATACCAGCCCTCCAGATGGTCTTTGTTTGGTTATTTTTAGCAAAAAAAAGCTCTATGCAGGCTTTTACTTCAGTTATACCTCACATGTAGGAAGGGAAAAACAGTTCCTAGCAGTGATGACTGATAAATTATTAGGGTTCAGATGCAGAGGTGCTGTGCGTGAGCTGGAAATTAGTAATTTTACAACCACCAACTTCAAGCCAAAATTCTTCACTTGTATGCATTGTATTAAGGAATTTGGACAATTAGCATGGTATTCTACTGTGGTCAGGTAGGATCTTAACTTACTGTGCCAGCCACAGCACTTGAATTAGCTGGAGTTTTGAATGTTATTCAACTGGACGTCTCAGCAATTAAAACTGGACAGAAAATTGGAGCAGTGCAAATATTTATGAGAAAGGTAACAGACATACATATTTAATTACTGTATTCTACTTATCTTATGTAGGGTGGGTATGAAAAGGTACACACTATACTGTAGTAGTTGGAGGAATGGCAAGTAGGGGTGGGCGAAATGGCAAAAAATATATCACGGCAGCGCCACTCAAACAAACTTTATTGTGCACCCTTTTACAGATGTAGGTATCAGATCAAGCAGGAAGCTTCCGGTCAGAGAAACAAAACACATATGTAATAAAAAGTATGCAGATCATGTTCTATATTTTTTTTATGCATGCATGCTATTAAGTGGAGACATCAGTGTCCATAGATTTAAAGTGCAACAATGTAATGTCAACATTACATTGTGATATACTACTGGTATGTCATAATATAAAATATGAAGAGGTCATTATATTCATTGTGTAAAGTGCTATTTCTGGCTTTGACTACTCACTCTGCTGTGATTTATTGCTTGTGTTCGTGAACACGTTTTAAGTATTCCTTTGTTAACTGTTCTGCACTTCTTCTGTGATCACGTCTCGTGGCGTGTTTACATATTTGGCAATGTACCCATTGAAACATACATGTTTTTACTCCAGCACAGCAGTGTAGTGTACGTGACGTGAACCTTGAAATCATGCCAAGAGCCAGTTCCATTTGTGGTCATAAGTATTGTGTAGCTTTGTAGATGCATCGCAGTCTCCAAGGAAGAGCTAAAATAGGCAGTTAAAGCCCTGCCTGTAACAGTTGTCTGTTCAATTTAGCTTGTAAAGTATCCTGCTCACTCCCCCCCCCCCCCTCTTTCCTCTGGCCTATATTCCATTGAGTATGTGCCCTATATTTTACGCCCCCCTAACATTTGCTTGGCACCTGCAGAGTATTTAAAGGGTCCGTCACACTTTATTCTGATGACTGTTGCTGTTATTGGGGCATTTGCAGGAAGAACATGTATCTGTCAAGGCTAAATGCACTGAGGCTATCACCAGCCTCTTATGGCTGAATGGAAAGACATGGTGGATTTGAGCAGTACAATGCATGAGATTTTCAGCCTGGGTTGAATGACTGATGATGGTCTGTGAAGTTACAGAAGGAAACAGGTCCTCTGTATAATTATCTCGGTAAATTCAAATGAAAGGAGATAACGTTTTAACCTGACTGGCTATCTGCTCGTTAGCATCATACTGTACCTCATTCGTATCTCATTTGTATAGATTTAGTGGACAGATCCATCTTTCACAGGCTATATGACAAAGCCCATGAACATAAACTGCATCTTTAGAAGTTAGAGAATAAATATATGTTATTGGAGGTTTGTGTGCTGCTGCTTCTTATCCAGGTCCATGTCGGCTTTACTTATACAAAATTCTCCATCTATCCATCGTCAACCGCTTATCCTGCGTACAGGGTCGCGGGGGGCCTATCGAGGGGCCTATCCCAGCTGGCATTGGGCAAAAGGCGGGGTACACCCTGGACAGGTCGCCAGTCCATCGCAGGACCAAACATAGACAAACAACCACTCACGCTCACACCACAATTTAGGGTCACTAATTAACCTAGCCCGCATGTCTTTGGATGGTGGGACGAAGCCGGAGCACCCGGAGAGAACCCAGGCAGACACGGGGGGAACATGCA